ATTGACGATATTGTTGGTCGGGCAGAGGGCAAAAAGCAGCAGGTGATTGATGACTTGGACGCTTCTGCTGACGCTATGGCCACGGGGCTCAAGAAGCTCGGGTTGAAGATTTCTGACAAAACGAAGCTTGTCGCCAGTTCTGATGATATTGGTGTGGAGTTACAACGACGACTGGTTCGCAAAGGTATCCCTGTGCAGTTCGTGCGCTCAACTGTTGACTTGGGCTCTGATGCTGCTGCAGGGCGTCGGCGAACAGCGCCTCGGATGATGAAACGACGCGCACAGGCTCGACGGCGGCAGCGAAGAGTTATGCGATTGAGGCAACTACCCGAGACCAGGTTCATCACCAAGAAGCTCTTCAGCACTGGAGTGTTACCTGCTGCAGTCTTTGGCCATCAGATAATGGGCACCCCTCCATCTTCTCTGTTGGCTTCGAGGCGGGATGCTGCAGCGAGCGTTGCTGGGGCGAAGCGTGGCAGGTGTTTGAATTCGGTATTACAAGCGGTGTTTGGGGTCTCTGATCCTGGCATTGATTTGAGGAAGCAGATGATTAAGGAGTGGATTGCGTTGTGGCTTTCCCAGCCGATGCTCCATCCTCGCATTCGCAAGATGCGGCCGATCACATTGGCGAAGTTGCGACGTGGCGCTGCTGAGCGACAGGCGGTGAAGTGGAAGGATGTGCGCGGCCCCATCGCCGCGGTGCAGGCCACGCTCTTGCAGATTGGCTGGGATCCGCAAAGTCCTGATGTCTGGTCACGCCCTTTGCCAGATGGTACGATCGATGATTGGTTGTTTCCTGCTTTTGGAGATGAGCAGTTCGCTACAGCAGTTCCTTCGCATTTTGAGGACATGCTCGGCGCATTCATGGATGATTGTGTTCAGCTGCAGTGGAAGGAAGCGGCCCACCATGAGGCGGGCGAGGATCTGGCAGCAGGAGCGGACATGACGACGGTGCAGATTGAGCTGAACCGCTTGGCTGCCAGGTCCAAGTTCGACGAGTGGGCCGCCGACATTGCCGTCATCTCGGGGGGGCCAGTGGACTCGTGAGCGGCAGATAGCCGCAGGATATTCCTGCCAGCCGCTGTGCCCCCGACGCAGGGAGCAGCCTGAGACTTTAGCTCATCGCATTTGGCTATGCCCAGCCAACTGCGGACACGAAGACTTTTCAAAAACGGATTTTTTGGCCCCCCCCCCCAGGCCCTCGCGGGCCTTGAGGCCCAGCCTGCCTTGTGGCTCAGGGGAGTGCCCTCGAAGGACCTCACGGTGCCTAGGTTTGTTGAGACTTCGGAAACGGCCCAGGAGGTCCTTCTGGGAGATGGCTGCTTGGCGGATTTCTGCTCGGAGCCTGGCGGCCCTCCTGTGTTTATCTTCGGTGACGGATCTGGGGGCGAGTTCAGCTCGGATCCCAGGCGCAGGCGATGTGGCTCGGCCGTGGTGATGATGTGCCAGGACCCCTCATCGCCTAATTCTTGGGTGCCTCAGTGCGGTGTAGGACAGGTTTTGTCAGGCCGTCGGCAAACGGTTCCTAGAGCAGAGCTCCAGGCCTTCTGTCTCGCGCTTGAGCACTCCTATGGTCCGATATGCTATATTACCGACTGCAAGAGTTTGATTTCTGATTGGCACGGTGGCCGTGCCTCCTCCCCTCGGGGCCCGAACGGGGACTTGTGGGTTCGTGCTTCTCGGGCTCTCCGCTCCCGTGGCCTTGGGGGGGGGGTTTTCTTTTCTGGACGCCCTCCCACATGGAGGAAAATTTGCAGTCGGTAACTTCCCCGTTTGATATCTTTATGTGCCAGGGCAACGCCAGTGCCGACGCCTATGCGGGGGTGGTGGCCCAGTGGTCCTGGGATTGGTGCGTTGTGGCCCCTCCCCCTCGGACTGACCTGTGGGACACGACGGCGGCACTGGTGCGTAGAAGGGCCAGAAGGGCTATGGCGCTCGAGGTTGAACCTTGGGAAGGGGCGAGAGCTCCGCCAGCGCCCAAGGTCCGCAAGCCCACTAAGTTTGACCAGGCGATCCGCGATAGTGCGCACAAGTTTCGCCCGTTCGCTGGTCGCTGGCGTTGCAATGTCTGCAAGGTGATTGTCCCGAGGAGCCAGGTGCTCGCTGTCGCCTCGACCCCGTGCCGCGATCCGACCCCGTCGCTGCCGTCGGATTCGTCTGGAACGCTGGGTCTGAGCCCTGAGTTTGGAGAGGGTTTCGAGGCGATCTCGGGAGAGGTGTGGTGTGGCGCTGTGAAGCTTCACCCCAGCCACCGCCTCGCCAGGATGTGTGCGTTCGGGCTGACCTTCTGTCAGCGATGTGGTTTCACTGCCACGACAGACGGTCGGTGGCTGCAGAAGGTGTGTGCCCCCCCCACTCGCAAGGGGGGCGAAAACCTCAAGCGAATTAAAAAGGGTGTCTTTCCGTCTTATCGGGGCCCACCCGTGGCCTTGCGTGAGGCGGCGGCGCTGGATGCTGCTGCGAGAGCCCTCCCGCCACCCCCTCGTGGAGGAACTGGGGGCGTGGGTGGTGCCGAAAGGCCAATGGTGGAGAGGCCCAGTTTCGATGAGTATGTGGCCCGCTCATCCGATCGCCCTGTCGGAGAGCTGGCCAACCTGATGACGGTCAGCGAGGACGCCCCACCCGTGGGCGAGGACGCGGCCGCTGCTCTTGCTGCCGCTGCCGCCCGCTTGCATGAGGTGAATGAGTTTGAGGGTGCCGCCGCCCAGCTCAGAGCCCAGGGTCAGGGGCAGACAGTGCTCGCTGGTGCTCGTGTGCAGGGGTTGGGCAGCGGGGACGTCGATAGCGGTGACAGCGACTGAACTGGCCACGTGGGTGGCATCGCAGCATGATCCAGCATGATCCTCCTCCTCCTCCTCCTCCTCCTCCTCATCCTCCCTCCTCCCATTCCCTCCCTCCCTCCTCCCTCCTCTCTCCTCCTTCCTCCCTCCTCCCTCCTCCCTCCTCCCTCCTCCCCCCCTCCTCCTCCTCCTCTCCTCCTACCTCCTCCTCCTCCTCCCTCCACCCTCCCTCCCTCCCTCCCTCCCTCCCCCCTCCCTCCCCCCCTCCCTCCTTCCACCCTCCCTCCCTCCCCCCCGCCCCCCTGTCGTCTGGATAGGGCCTTGGAGTGGCCTAGGCTTCACTGTTCGTCAGCCTGTTCGGCTGACCCTGGACCGACCTAAGGGTTGATCACTTCGTGGGGCCTCGGGGTTCTTGAGGCCCCTCTCTCTATTCAATTCGGCCCTCTTCCGTTCCTAAGGGTTCGGTTGGGGCTCCCGACTTGGACACACCCCTCCTCCTCCTCCATCCCGCCCTCCTCCTCATCCTCCTCCCATCCTCCTCCTCCTCCTCCTCCTCCTCCTCCACCTCCTCCTCCTCCCCCTCCTCCTCCTCCTCCACCTCCTCCTCCCCCTCCTACCTCCTCCTCCTCCTCACTCCACCTCCTCCTCCCTCCTCTCTCCTCCTCCTCACTCATCCTCCTCTCCTCCTCCCCTCCTCCTCCTCCCCTCCTCCTCCTCCTCCTCCTCCCTCCTCTCCTCCCCTCCCCATCCTCCATCCTCATCCTCATCCTCATCCCGCTCCTCCTCCCTCTTCCTCCTCTCCCCTCCTCCTCCTCCTCCTACCTCCTCCCTCCACTTCCTCCTCCTCCTCCCTCCTCCTCCTCCTCCTCCTCCACCTCCTCCCCCTCCTCCTCCTCCGCCTCCTCCTCCTCCACCACAATTACTTTTATATGAATACTACTCTCCCTCCTTCCCCTGATGACCGGGTTGGGAGGGTTCGCCCCCCCCCCCCCCCACCTAACCGCGTATTGTTTTTTACACACAGGATTCCCGGGAGTTGGGTTTTCGCTTGCATTTTTTTTCAAAATGCTGCTCTCGCTGAGGCGCCGGCCTCATTTTCGGGCCCCGCTCGTTCCGAATCGTGCTCCCGCTGCAGCGCTGGCCTCATTTCCGTGCTTCCGCTCGTTCCGAATCGTGCTCCCGCTGCAGCGCTGGCCTCATTTCTGCGCTTCCGCTCGTTCCGAATCGTGCTCCCGCTGCAGCGCTGGCGTCATTTCCCGTGCCATGCCACGGCATGCACTGCAATGCTAGGTTGCGTTCCGCTGCGCGATGCCATGCCTTCAGCTGAAGCTGTGATATGCAGTGCTTAAGTGCCACGTCGTGCTATGCCATGCTACGCTTTGATCTTCAACGCCATGCTATGCAATTTTATGTTCGGGGCCGCTGTGCGATGCCATGCTTTGCGTTGCAAAGCTTTGTGATGCAATTCTTCACTACGCCACGCCACGCCATGCTGTGACATACTACGCTTTGCGGTGCTCTTTTACGCCATGCCACGCCGTGCTCTACAATGCATCGCGTACCCTTTCGGGATCACTGCCTTGCTCGACATCCGATTGTGCGAGTAGAGAGGGGATCTACGCCATGGTAAGGGATGGGAGGGAAGGGTAGGATGTCAGATATGACGCGAGCGCACATAGCTTGTCCCCCTCCCCTACGCCATGGTAAGGGATGGGAGGGAGGGGTAGGATGTCAGATATGACGCGAGCGCACCTAGCTTGTCCCCCTCCCCCTCCCCCTTCCCCTCCCCTTCTTCCTCCTCCTCCTCCTCCTCCTCCTCCTCCCCGTCGGGCGGGGCCATAGGCGATATGACAGGGGCACATTTCACATTTTTCCAGAGAGTGTTCCATCACGCCCTCGGAGCGCCCTGGGACGGTCCGAGCAGGCCGCGGCTCCCGAATGCGTCTCACGGGCGGCGAACGCATATCACTGTCCGCGCCCTCGCGGTCTGGATTCCGGGGCGCGATCCCGCGGGTGCGCGGTCGCACGGACACGTGCCGCCAGGGGCCTCCGCGAAAACAAACGCCCCGCACCTGCCGGGGGTTCGCAGTCCAGGGGCCTGGCCCGCGAGGCCGCGGATACGCCCATGCGCGTCCTCCAGAGCCTCCGGATCTCAGAGGCCCCCGACGCAGCCCTGCCCGGCTCTGCCCCTGTCCTGGCGCCGCCCCGCCCCCGCGGGAGGCCGAGGGGCTGGACGTGCAGTGGGTCCCCGCCCGCGGCGGCGTCAAGGCCGCCCCGGCGCACCGCGCGCGCCCAGGCGGACGGGGGCCGGGCGCGGCCGAAGACGGTCGCGGCGGCGACGGCCGCGACGTCGGCGACGGCGGCCACGGCCACGGCCATGGCCTCGACGACCGGGGCCCTCGGCTCTCAGGGGGAAGTGCTGGCAATGCTCGGCGGCGGGCGAGGGGGGGGGGAGAGAAAGAGGAGGCTTCAGTCGGGCATGTCCTTCGAAAGGAGGAATGCCCAAAATGGTTCAAACAACAGATTATGGTGCCGATGTGCCGTGCTCTTTTGACTATGCTTGAACTTGTTTGACTCTGTTTCTTATTGTTCGTCCACAACCAACCTGTAGGAGGACATGCCCGACCTAACAGAAGGCCTTCTCTCAGAAGGCGGCGGGTCTTCGCAGCGTTCTGTGTCGGGCGGCCAAGGAGAGTGGACTTCCGAGCCTTCCGAGAAGGCCCGCCCCTCCGCACGTCCCCCCTCTGGGCTGGCCGTCGACATGCCATGCGCTTCCCTCGTCGCCCAGCCCGATTCGCCTGGAGACTCTGGTCAGGATGCGCCCTGGGAGCGGTTCGCGGAGCGGCAGTGTCGGTGCACGTTTGCCCCCAGGTTTGTGACAAGGATCGAGAGGGCCTCGGACGTTTTCTTCGGCTTTCCAGGTGCTTGTTTCAAAGCGCGTGGTGCTCTCCAGCAGCTGCGCCTCGCCGTGAGCGCTCGGGGGGCCATGCCCTTTTGCATTGCACGCCGTCGGCAGGAAGTTTGGTTCAGAAGGGTACCACAAGGAACGGAACGTTCGCCCGATACTGCGAACATGCTGGAATCACATTCACTCAAGTGCGCATGGTCTCGGGCCGTTTCTTTGGTCTAGGTCGTGGCGCCTAGACGTGGCCGAGGCTCGCCGTGGCTAGAAAAGCCAATTCGTTCCTGATCCGGCGTTCCGCATGGTGGTGCGATGATTGAACTGAAAAACCTGCCTCGTCGTGATGTCATCTTCATATTCCAGGAGGCTGCCACCACCGACCGTGAAGCTCTACATTTTCTGACTGTGTTCCCCCACCCGCCTACCCCTCCGCGTCAGCTCCCTTGCTTTCCCCACTGCACACGTGCACGATTGGTTGGTCCGCGGCCCGTTCTGGCCCAAACGCGCCGTGTCCCACATCGCTGCGACACAGACGCTTCCATCGTCCAGCCTCATTGTCTCAGCCTGATCGGTGAACGATCGAGGGCGAGAAACACATCCATATCTATGACCCCGCTGGCTGTACGGGGCGTTCTCGCAGAGAAGTGAGAAGAGACGCCGCGTACGTCGGAGGTGCGCGGGCCTCGCGTGAGCCCCCGAAGGCAGGAAACGGGCAGACACCCTGCGCCGTGTCCGTCGCGAGTTGTTCAAGAGTCGATTGCTCAAGAAGACGTGACAGAGCACACAGCTGGGACGGCGAGCCTCTCCTGGGCGGCGAGTCTCGAGGGGAAGTCAGGAGGGGCGGGCCTTCTGAAAAGGCCCGGAATTCCTCGGGCCTTCTGAGAACTTGTCTAAGCCATTCCCGAAGACGCAGACAATTCCTCAGAAGGCCGGGGGGGCTTCTGAGAAGCCCCGCCGCCTTCTAAGGAGGCTTGCCCCTTCTCACTTTCTCTAGGCCTCACTGATGGGGTCGGAGTAGATAAGATCGATGCATCGGCGATGCATCGGCGATGCATCGGCGATGCGGCTCGATGTGGAGTCCGATGTTCTCCATGCCGGCGTCTCGGATGCATCGCCGACGTCGCCGACGCATCGTCGACGCATCGTCGATGCATCGGCGATGCATCGCCGATGTGTCGCCGATGCGGCGAGATCCTCCGACTCCATCTACTCGGACCCCATCTAGGACCGGGTATAGCTAGCACCCAAGGTAAGGGGACCCGGTTAGTGGCAGGGCCCCAGAGCTGGTAAATTGTCGAGATTCACTAAACCAGGTCTGCCGTAGCTGGTGTTTTTTTGGGTGACGGCAGTTCCGGTTCGTGGAACGGGGCGGGGGGGGCGACCCCCAGCACACATCACTAAACCAGGTCCCACTGAACCCAGCTCTGCCAGCGCCCGATAGGAGGCCTTTGCTTGCCCCCCGGGCGCGCCCCCCTACCCTCACCGCGGCGCGCGGCGCGCGCTCGCCGCGTCCCCCCCCCCCCGCCCCTCTGCTGCCGCAGGCCGCGGAGGCGGTGCTGAGGGGCGAGGCGGCGGCCGCCCGCGCGCCTGCGCAGGGCCCTTTGGTGCGGCAGAGGGGAGGGGAGAGGGAGGAGTGCCGAGGTGACCGCGGCCGCTGCTGAGGGGAGAGGGGGCGTAAACAGGGGGCCACATGCGAACCCTGCCCCTCCCCCTCAGAAATCGTGGGGGGTCGAGGTAGGGTTCGCATGTGGTCCCCTACTAGAAGCGGATGCTAAGGTGTGTTACAATTGGCCTAACCTAGCTTATACAGGATGTTCGCGTTGTGTCGACCTGGCAGCGACCTCGCCACCGGCGTTAAACGTTGAGCGTCGGCGGCGGCCCAGAATCGGTCGATGTTGAACGAACGATCCGACGTTTCGGAAACCGCCGATCCTTCAAGGCTGAGCGATCCCCGCGGTGTCAGAGACCAGCGCCGGGGTCGTCACGACACGAACCTGCCGTACCGAGATGACTGCGGCCGTTGCTGAGGGGATATGGGGGCGTAGAAGCGGATGCCAGGATGAATTCTTGACGCTTCGCGTATCCGCACCAGCCCATCCTACACCAGGCACTCGAACGAAGAGCGCCGATGATCGGCAGCTGTTCTTCTCCCCCTCTTCCTCCTTCTCCTCCGCCTTCTTCCTCCTCCTCCTCTCCTCCTCCCTCTCCTCCTCCTCTTCCTCCTCCTCCTCCTCCTCCTCCTCTTCCTCCGCCTCTTCCTCCTCCCTGGTGGCGTCTTGGAGGTATCTTCGAACGGTTTGGTGGGCTCTTGGGCCTTGCGGGCGGGCGGGCGGCGCTCCGCCCGCCCGCCCGCAAGGCCCAATAGTATTCTGGGCTTGAAGTCCCGCGCGAGCGCTCGATTGGATTTATTTTGAAGCAGTTTTTGGGCGTCTGGGGTCCTTGTAGACGCCATCGGGGCGCTCTGGAAGGGCATCTTGGAGCAAATCTATCAAAGAAGAGCAGAGCTTTAATTAGCGTTGCCCCTCCAGACTGTCTAAAATCGCTTCCTGGACCCCTCTTGGATCGCTCTTGGAGCGCTCTTGGACGCTGTTGAGGCAGTCTTGAGGCTCTCTTGGGCCCCTGTTGGGGCCCAGTTGGGACATCTTGGCGCCATCTTGAGGCCTCGGATGGGCTTCGGAAGCGCAAAAAAATGAGAACACCAAAACATTGATTTTCTTTAGGGTTTTGAAGCATTTCGGCCTTTTGAGGGCACTCTGATGATGCTCTTGTGGGCACTTGGAACCATCTTGGAGCGGTCTTGGAACGTGTTGGAGCGTCTTCTGAACCATCTTCAGGCATCTTGCGCTATCTTGAGCCATCTTGGAGGCGATCTTGGGCTCTCTGAGGCCCTCTTGGAGCCGTCCTGGGCCATCTTGAACGCTCTGACCGCTCCCCGCCCCTCCTGTCCAGGTCTGGGGAGGGGGGAGGGGGAGGGGTAAACCCCTCCCCGAAGGGGAAGAGGGAGGGGTGGAAGAGGAAACGCCCTAAACCACCGACGCCCAGAGGGCTGGTGGGATTATACCTGGCCAAACCTAGCTTGTAAATGAACTACAGGTGCCCTGAGTGGTTTAGGTGCGGTGCCCTCGCGACCCCCCCTGAACCACGTAGGGCGCCTGCAATCATGAACTGGGTTGGGCCAGACATGACCCACCTTAGCATCCACCTCTACGCCCCCCATTCCCTTAGCAATCGCCGCGGTCATCTCAGTAGAATGCAATTCCTAGATGGTCGGATTCAGCGTCGGCTCTGTCAGGGGCAACGATAGAGGGGGATAGGCTCAGGGAAGGGTGCATCGACCCCCCAATCGCCCACTGATCGCCGATAGGGGCCTGATAGCCCACCCCGCCCAGGAACGTGCGGATTCGCAATCGAGGACCTATCGGTGATGGATCGCCGATTCCAGCTCAATGTTCCCCCTCTGAGTTGGTTCCCCCCTATCGTTGCCCCTCATGCTTGTGAATCCGTGGTAGAAACCAGCTAGGACTGGCATGATCCCACTGAATCCGGCTTCTCATCCCGCTTTATCCCAGGTTTAACCCCGGGCAGAATCTGGGCTAATCCGGTCTTGGCCTCTTATTTGGCTTCATAGCCCCGAGTCGTTCTTGCAAAGACCTTCTAGAAGCTTATCAAGGGCTGAGTGTCGGAAGCGTCCAGCCCAGACCCTTTTGCGTCCCGAGGAAATCACGGCGGGAGGTTGTTTTTTTTTAAATGTTGTTTGTCTCTTTGGGTGCCCTCCACGGTCCCGCGGACACCGTCAGAAAACGGCGATCGGGATGAAAAGCAGGGCCTCCCAGATGGGGTCGAAGTAGATGGGTACAGAGGATCGAACCGCATCGCCGATAAATCGGCGATGCAGCTCGACGTGGAGCCCGATTTTCGCTACGCCGACGACGCCGACGCCGCCGCCGCCAACAACGACGACGACGACGAAAACGACGGCAACGACGACCAGGACGACGACGACGACGATGACGACGTCTACCGACTACCGACGACGACGACGACGACGGACGACGGACAACGGACGACGGACGACGGACGACGGACGACTGACGACGGACGACGACGACGAAGACGACGACGACAGACGACGGACGACGGACGACGTTCGACGGAAGTCGACGGACGGACAACGTACGACGACGACAACGACGACTACGTCCTCGACGATGACGACGGACGACCGACGAAGGACGACGGACGGCGGACGACGAAGTCGACGACGACGACAACAACGACGACGACTTGGACCTCGACGACAACGACGACGGTGTCGACGCCAACGCCGATGCCATCGCCGACGACGTCGTCGACGGACGACTGACGACGGACGACGCACGACCGACGACACACCACGGACGACGGACGACGATGACGACATTTATGACGACTGATGACGGTCCACGGACGACGGACGACGGACGACGACGACGAAGAAGACGACGACTACGACGACGACGAACGATGGCGACGACGACCACGACGGGCTACGGCGACGACGACGACGACGACGGCAGACGACGACGACGACGACGACGACGACGACGACGACGACGACGGCAATGACGGTCCGTCGCCCGTCGTCGTGGGTCGTGGGTCTGGGAATCGAGGTCTCCCAGATGGGGTTGAAGTAGATGGGTGCAGAGGATCGCGCCGCATCGCCGATGCATTGGCGATGCGGCTCGATGTGGAGCCCGATTTTCGCCACGCCGACGACGCCGACGCCGCCGCCGACGACTGACGACGGACGACGGACGACCGACGACGCACCACGGACGACGGACGACGGACGCCGACGCCGCTGCCGCCGATGACGACGACGACAACGCCGCCGCCGACAACGACGACCAGGACGACGACGACGTCGTCCGTCGTCCGTCGTCCGTCGTCGTCGTGGTGCCCTGGCTTTTTTTGGGGGGGGCGTTCCTCGGGTCCAGGCCGGGGCGCCTGCTCCTGCCCTGGGAGGGACTCCACTCCTGGCTCTGCGCTCCTCTCTCGGGTGGCCCACGGGCTGTGTGCGTATGTGAGGGTCACGGCCGTCTCTCTAGGCCTCCCAGATGGGGTCCGAGAAGATGGTGTCGAAGGATGGCGCCGCATCGCCGATGCATCGGCGATGCGGCTCGATGTGGAGCCTGATTGTATCCACGCCGCATTCGAGGATGCGTCGCCGACATCGCCGATGCATCGACGATGCAGCGCGATTCTCCGACCCCATCTACTTCGACCCCATTGGGCAGGCCTTTACTAATGGCACCTCCCAGATCGCATGCCCCCGTCTGTTCGGCTTCGCGTAAGAGTGGCCCTGCGGAGTGACCTCTCGTGTGAGCTTGCAGGGGTTCCCCCAGCAATCGCTGGCGCGCTTGGATCTGACCCGCCGCGGCCACCCAGGTGCCGCGCACCAAAGGTCACTCTTGCCTCGGGCTGCTCGTGCGTGCAGCCGAACTCTTTTCAACGCGTCCCATGGCAACCACCGTCGTCCTCCTCCTCCTCCTCCTCCTCCTCCCCCTCCTCCTCCTCCTCCTCCTCCTCCTCCTCCTCCTCCTCCTCCTCCCCCTCCTCCTCCTCCTCCTCCTCCTCCTCCTCCTCCCTCTCGTCCGCGCACATGCCTCGGGCCAAGAGCGCGGCGGGGGATATCTCGGCGGACTGCCCGCGGCCGTGTGGGTCTCGGTTCCGCTGTCGGAGTGGCCGCTGTTCGGCCTCGCCGTCGGCTTCGGTTTGCCAGTCTGCGGCCAAGGGGCGCACCTGCGCAGGGCCTTTCGAGGAGATGGCGGCGCGCGCATCAGCGCGACGTGGGCGGCCCTCTCAGGAGGTACGCGGGGAGGGGCTGCACCGGAGGCAGCGAGAGGAGCCTCCTGAGAGCGGCCCGGGGGCTCCCAGGAAGCATCGTTCCCAGACCTCCTCGGGCCATGGAACAATCATGACGGGCGGTTTTTCATGGTGTTTGGCCTCTTGGGGATCCTACCAGACCTCGGGACCGTCAAAGCACGACTCGGGGTGAAGAGCCGGTCCTGGGGAATGGGTCCAGACAGCTGGGTGTCCACGTCCAGATGTGGAGAGAGGGGCCTCATTACGGGATCTCCTGTGGCAGCCGACTTCGGCCCCGCCGCTGGGCGCTTTCCTCGATGCACGGGCGGCTCCAGAGGCGCCGGAGACGCCAGGTGCGTGAGCCGTTCTGTTAGCCCCCCCCTCTGCTGACCCCCTTCTGTCTGCTGGGACGGTGCGCGCCGCCGAACACACTGGGGGAGCATGCGTCATCGCGCGAGTGGTTCGCAGTTGCCGGCGAGCCTTGGGCGACGGTTCTTGAAGACAGCCGTCGATGGAGCGTCATGTTTGATCGCCTGGTTTGCGCAGCTGCATAGAGCAACGGCATCCACAGAGAAGGGAGGCGTCAGAAACATGGGTCGCTGGTCTTTGGGTTGGGGGGGAAAGGAGGAAGGGCAGGATCGAGGCTCCAGGGTGGAAGTCTCAGATGTTTGGCCGCCGTCCTCGTCATCTCCCTCCCTTCCCTCCTCTTCTCTCAGTATCGTTTAACCGATCCCCATCCCCATCCCGAGCCCCACCATCTCACCACCCCAGTTGGGAATATACCCCTCGAAACCCGAAGGGAGCAGCCTGTATCCCCATCTAGGGGGGCAAATCGGCCAGTGGGGCCCAGACCACACCGGTGGGGATAGGGATCGCTTAGACGATGCTCATCCTCCTGCGCACGCGTCGGAGTATTGTGTCTGATGTTCAGCCTCCAGGGCCCGGTTCTGGGACCCAGCAGCGTTCAAAACCGATTCTGGATGACAAGCCCGCCGCCAGGGACGGGGTCGAGAGCCTCGGGGAGACATGTCACGATACAGTGTAGTGTCAGATGCCTGTGGGTGGCCTCAGTTGCTTCTCTGAGTCCCGCTGCTGAAACCACTGCTTTTCGCTACTGCTTTGCCAAATTACGAAGGTGATTGCTCAATCGTCCGCACGAAAGTTGCGCAACGCAAGTCTGAAGCAGCACCGCGTCGATAGCACTGCCAGGCAGCACCACGGCCACACCATAAACACTTGGCCTCGAGACGAGCCCATCCCCGAAAAAGTAGTCAGTTGCGTTTAGCGCGGGGTGGCCCTCTCTTTATATTCTGCACGCGGGGGGAGGGGAGAGTTTGAGCTCTCCGTGGAGGCACGAATTGCGCGAGGCGTGTGTCGGATCGAGGCGCGAACAGTTCGCTCCTGATAGGGGGACGCTCCACGTGACGGGTGCATCGATCCGGGGTGGGGATGGCAAGCAGATCCACAGTGTGGCGGCAGTGGGGCCTCATTCTTTGGGGCACGCATCCGTGTGAGGGTTATTCAAACAGGAGGCGAGGACGCTGAGCGCACACCTTCACTGGTGCCAGAATCGGAGTCTCCCGTGGGACATGACGCGTGCGAGGGTTATGATGCTCGAACCAACTTTAGCCTTGATCACCAGGAAGAGTTTCGAGCGCCCAAAAAAGTACCGAAACTCAAGGGTTTTCACGTGTCGGGCCCTGGGAGACACTCGCCCGACACTGTTTCGACATTGTTTCGACACTCGTTTGATACTTTTCGGGTGCTCGAAATTATTTCTGGGATGTGGTCCTTAATCAGGATGGGAAATAACATAATGCGAGGGGTGTGTCTGATCAAGGCGAGGGCGGCCAGTGCACGCCCGCACTCGGGCCGAGGCCGCAGCGCCCCCTGGTGGGCGAGGCGCAGGAGGAGTGCTGGGCCGCAGCCGCAGCGGCAGGGGGCAGAGAAGCGGCATCAGCAAAGCGGAAGAGAGAAGGAGAGGATGGGAAGGAGACAAAAAGAAGGAAGGAGTCAAGAGGAAGGAGGCAGAAGGAAGGAGGCAAAAGGAAGGGAAGGAGTCAGAAGGAAGGAGCCAAACGGGGGTCAGCCAGGGCACCGGATCCTGCAGGATACTGCGAAGACCCCCTCTGGCTGACCCGGGTTAGCGAGCCGCTCGTGGCCACGAGGCGGCCGCGCGTGTTGGCTGACCCGGGTTTGCGAAGACCTCCGTTGCAGTTGTTTGTCTTGCGTTGCAGTTTTTTGGTTTCCTGCTGACCTGGGTCTGGATTAACCCGTGTCAGAAGATCCCCGAATGGGAAGGAGGCAGAAGGAAGGAAGGAAGGGGACGCACGCCGCAGGGGAGAGAGGAGTGGGGAGCCAGCTCCAGAGGAGTGCTGAGAAGTGGTCCTGCCTGGTACCCACTCGCAGTGAGCCGGATGCAACTCCTGAGAGGTGAAATTCAGCATCGGCACGGTTATATCCGTGGTCGAAGACCGACCTAATCCAGCATGATACCGCTTAATCCCGCTTAGTCCGGCTGGACCCCAGGCCCGATCCGGCCCAGCCCGGCTTAGTGGCCCCTTAGTCGGGCTGAATCGTTTTTCCCAACCATCCTGTGGTGTTGGGTCCTCGTTTTGAAGAGAGCGCCCCGCGTTCCTTGCCTCCTTCCTTCCTCCTCCCCCTCCTCCCTCCTCCCATCCCTGCCTCTGCCCTGCGCATGTCTTCGTCATCATCATCATCATCATCATCATCATCATCATCATCATCATCATCATCATCATCAGCAGCAGCAGCATCATCATCATCGTCATCGCCATGTCATCGGCATCATCGTCATCGACGTCATGATCACCACCGTTACCGTCACCATCATCGCCACAAATTTCGCCACAGCCCTTAACGTTTCGTGGCCCCACAGGGAGCCCCATCGAAGGCCTAAATGGCGGTGTTCGCATACGTCTCCCCCACCCAGCACAGGGTTTCGCGGCCCGAATGGCGGTGTTCACATGCGTCCCCCCCGCCCAGGACAGCGTTTCGATGCCCAACAGCGAGCTCCACCTAAGGCCCCGGTGGCGGTGTTCGCATGCGTCTCCCCCACCCAGGACAGCGCTTCGTGGCCCCACAGGGAGCTCAACTCGAGGCCCAGTGGCGGTATTCGCATGCGTCTCCCTCGTGCACGACAGTTTTTCGCGGCCCCACAGGGAGCTCCACCTGGGTGCAGCGACCTGCGGAGCTGCGGAGCCCTGCATGGCGTATTGCAAAGCAGGCACCGCCTCGTGGCCCACAGAGGGAGACACCCTCACACATTTCGTGCCCCCCCCATAAGAACCTCCACCGAAGATTATACACGAGATCGCGGTACCTACAGCTAGATATGGTTGGGTCCTTCGCCAGGCTAATTTTTATTCGTTCTTCCGAGGACCTCCCGGGAGTTGCCTCTTGATTTCTATTTCTGTTTGTTTGTGTTCTCGTTGATATTTTCCCTGCACGCACTGCGCAAGGTCGACGGCGCTTACGGAACGTGGGTGCCCTGCGTGAAGTTCCCCACGGCGCTGCGAATCAATCCCTTGTACCCATCGGTCGTTGAATTCTGAACTTCCCAGATCCCGATCTGCACCAGGCGCCTCCCCAATTCAAGAGTCATGCGGTTTCCCCTATTCCCTCCTCTTCAGGGCGCGGGCGCAAACCCACTTCATTTTCGCGACGTGTTCTACGTTATGTTGCTACCCATGGGTATCGCTTCTCGGCGCCCAGGAGTGCAGCATCCTGGGCTCGCGCTGCGAAAGCGACGCATTTTAGCAGCTCAGTTTCCGAGCACCTTAGAGAAATCCGCCGCTCGAGCTCGCTCGGGGACGCGGACCTCCAGCGTTGGCGTTTCTGTGTCCGTCCGAAAGGCCCCAGGGGTCTCGACCTCCTTCCCTGCGGAACAGCTCCTCATCGCCGGACCGATCTCTGCCGCTGGCCCCCTGGGGTCCCCAAGGACGGCCGCCCCTCCTCCTCCTCCTCCGCCCTTCTCCTCCTCCTCCTCCTCCTCCTCCTTCTCCTCCTCCTCCTCCTCCTCCTCCTTCTCCTCCCGTCTGGCTTCCCCCGGGCTCGCCGCCAAACTTTGGTCAGGGACCGCGCCGGCAACTGGCAACCCTTGACGCGCCGCCGTGTTCTGGGTATGTGGGATTGCGCCTCGCCTCAGGGGGGGGGCATGCCTGTTGTGAAGAGAGCTGGGCCCTCAGCGAGAGGGCGCCTGAGGCTTTCCGTCGCTCTCGGCCTCCCTGGGCCCGTCCGTAGCCCCGTCAATCACAGATCGCGATTGGTAGCGACCGATCGGCACTGCAAATCGGTCGCGACCGATCGAAACCGATCGGTCCCGACCGATTTTGAAGCAAGCCGCTCGCGACCGATACCAAATTTTGAAGCAACATCGGTAGCGACCGATCTCGTCGGTCACGACCGAAAACATCCTGTATCCATTGATCTGGGAGTCAGGCAGGCCCGATCGCGTGCGGAGGCCTCACGCGCCCCACAAGTGGAGATGGCGTTAGAAGCCGATGTGGTAGTACACACCACTCGAATAACGAAGTTCCGGGCAAGCTGCTACGACGCTTTGCAAACGACGAAATCATCTACGAAAGTTGCCAATAAAATACGACTTTAACGAACGAGTCAGGATGAAAAGTGTGTCACGGGGGAGGGTCCTGGGGTCCAGGACCCGCTTCCCTCAGGGCCGGGTTACCGAGCGCGGTTGGTGGATTCATGGCCTCCGAGATGGCGTGTTGGAAAGGTTTCGGGCTTGCTTGGGGCTGTTGTCGGCCACCTTTGGTCTGTGGCGTGATCATTCGGCAACCTGTGGCCTTTCTATGGCGACTCTGAGGCAAGAGTTGGGAAGTACTCGGGGCTCGTTGGGGCCTCTCGATCCATGAATTAGGGGTACCTTCAGTCCTCTTGGAGCAGACTCGGACATCGGCTTCGCTGCAACGGGCAACAGCGGCCACCAATCGCAAAATGTGTCCCTGCTTTCTGGTCATGTCGCTCTGGGCCACGGCCACCAGCCCGACTCATGGGCGCCCGACCCCGCGATTTTTGCGGAAACACTTGCTTAAAGATGCAGGAGTTGGCAGAGGATATTGCGCCACCAAGTGCAGGCCGTGATGCTTTGTCAGTGCCGTGATGCGCCCGGTGTGCACAGCCCTGCTCAGCATCGAGGGGGAATTTGGTAGGTGATAGCAAGACAACGACGGAGATCCTGAAGGATGTGGGGTGTGTTAGATCGGCGGGGGCCCAGGCGGTGCGGTGACCACACCGTGTGGTGAGGCAGGGGGGGTTCGGGTAGACCGCACGGTTCTGGGACCTGGGTCGTTCTCCGATGATGTCTCGGGCGGCTGGTGCATCCAAGGTCCCAAAACCAAGGGGTGGTGGACCCTGCGTTGGAGGTCTTTGGGGGTTCAGATGTCACCGCACGGTCTGCCACCGCACCGCTACGGGACCTCCATTCGAGAGGGTCAGGGTGTACCAGTGCGCGCTGCAATATTGTTGCCGTGCGCCGCAAGCCCAGGCTCCGCCTCGACGGCAAGCCCCTGAGGCGCGGCGGTCAGCACATGTTCGATGACGTGCCGCCTGTTGTCACGCGTCCTTGTCCGCTCGTCTGGGGAATTGCCAGGTGCGGCAGTTCTCGTGGGCGAAGAACAGATCCGTATCCGCGGTCTCGCGGGCCGGGCCCCTTAGGCCGCGACCCCGCGGATACGAGGCGTTTTTGTCGAGGATGCCCCGCGTGGAACGTATCCGTGCGACAAGCGTATCCGCGGGATCGCGCCTCGGAATCCAGTCCGCGAGGGCGCGGATATGGATATGATCTGTTCGCCGCGCATGAAGTGTTGCGTCGTGTCGACCCAGCGGCGACCTCAGCGAGAGGCCGCCAGTGAGTCGGCCGACGCCTGGCGATCCGCGACATCGTAGCGCTGCGATCGTTCCAGGTTGACAAATCCACGCGGTGTCAGAAATCAACGCCGAAGTCATCACGACAAGAGCTTACCCTAGGCAGTCAGGGTGTCCTCCAAGACCCCTGCTCCGACCAATCTCTTGGAACACATCCCTCTGGCGGGTACACTCATGTACGTTTACTGGGTGTCACGCGTGAGGTCGCCGTGTTGTAATCGAGGGGAGGGTGTGTGATCGGATCGTGATCGGATCGCCAAGGCGAGTCTGCATCAGTTCAGGGCGCCGAGTTCCCCGAATCTAATTCCTACACATACACACTGGTGCTGAGCTCGATCACAGCCGCCGCTCTTGCTTTCTTCCATCGTCTCTGTCTCAGCGCCCAGGCTGCTCAGCGGCGAGCGAGGCGAGGGAGATACTAAGCACGATATGGCATATGTCCGACCTGTTTTGTTATAAGCTTTTGAGTCGTTCCATGGTCTGTTGCTGAGTGATGGTGGCATACGGGTTGGAATGCCGTGCTCCTGGCTATAATTGTGCTAGTTTGCTCGCCATCGGAGAGGTGGCTGGAAATATGGGATAGCGTAGATATGTGATACCTCCTCAGAGACTATCGACCCCTATCCATCATATGTCATCTGCCTGCCCTCATGAAGACGATGGTACAGTAAACGACTACACCAGTACCAAAAAGAAAAGCGTTCCCGGGTGGAGAGGCGATGTGTGCGGGGAGCATGGAAGAGCGGGAGGAGGCGGGGGCGGGGATCGGGAAGGAGGGTGCGCAGGAAGTAGGATGGGGGCAGGCAGGAGGAGGAACCCGAGGGCACGACGAATCGAATGAGCCACAGCATGAGGACGAGGAGGAATCAGGGGGGAGGGATGCGACGGGGGTAGCACGAGGACGAGGTGGAAGCAGGAGGATGAGGAGGAGGAGGAGGAGGAGAAGGACCGAGGAGGAGCGGAGGAGGGTGCAGAGGAGGCGGAGGGAGGGAGGGGGAAGAGCCCAGGAGGAGGGAAGGGCGAAGAGGATGGGGGGGCGAGGAGGAGGAGTCCAGGAGGAGTCCAGGAGGAGGAGTTCCAGGAAGAGTTCCAGGAGGAGTCCAAAAGGAGGAGTCCAGGAGAGTCCAGGAGGAGGAGTTCGGCAGGAGGAGTTCAGAAGGAAGGAAAGAGGAGGAGCCCAGCAAGGGGGTGGCGGCACGAGAGGTGAAGATCCCGCGCTGGGTGGGGGGGGGACGTCGGGGGGGATCGGGGTGGCCGCACGGTTTTGGGACTTGGGTCGTTCTCCGAGGAAGTCTCGGGCGATTGGCAATCATCGGGGTTTCCCCTCAAGTTCCCTCGTCATAGGGCTCGACAAGATATTCTACTACCGCTGCAGAAAATGCTTCACTGGGAGACAACAGTGTGAGAATTTTCAATCGCGCCAAAACACGATTCCTGGGACTCCAGCGCCGCGAATCAATGTGACTATTGCGTCCTGGTAATCCTAAGCCGTGCCAGAGCATAATTCCTGGGACTTCAGCGCCCCAAATCGACGTGACTGTGCGTCCTTGCAATCCGAGATAGTGCCAGAAAGCAATTCCTGTGACTTCAGCCATGTCAGAACGAGTGTGCGCGGCGCTAAGACGATAGCCTTATCTTGAAAAATAAGCACCCTCCATCCTTAAAGCTGTTGCAAACTTTTCAGACGAATGCGCGCGGCGCTAGGGCGAGAGCCACATTTTGAAAACGGCCCGCCCTCCATCCTTCAAAGTGCTGCAGTTTTTGTAAAGACGAAGGCTCAGTGCATTGAGGCGGGAGCCACCTTCGAAACACGGCCCGCAGTCCGTCTTTGAAATTGTCGCAAGATTTCAAGACCCTATTTGCCAGCGTGGACCCCAAGCAGCGTGTTCCTAACAGTGCGCGTTGAGCAATCTATCGGAGCAGTATACTGTTCAACCTATGTAGTGGGAGTATATGTTTGCGGTGCAACCTAAATGGTACAAAGTATGTGGTGCGGTCGTTGTTGTGCAATGTATGTTGTACAATATCAGTCGTGCAATTAGGTTGCGCGCGATATGTTGTGCAATCTTGGCGACGCTATATACATTGTGCAATGTATGCGTTGCACTATTCGGGGGGCAAAATATGTGGTGCAAATGAACAGTAAAACAAATCGGTTGTGCAATCCATGTGGTGCGATCAATATGTCTGGCTCAATCTATGAGTACACTACATGCTGTTGAATATCTGTGGTGCAATCCATGTAGTGCGATCCATGTTGGGCAGTTTACTTGACGCAATATATATAAATATATGTGGTGCAATCTACGTTGTGCAATCCAGGTGGCGCAATGGACGTGGCGCAGTATGTCTCGTGTAATCTGTGTTGTGCAGTCTTTTTCGATATATGTCTATATACACATATTATATACGATGCAAACTAAGCGATCCAATATACGTTGTGTAACTTATGTGGTGCGACCTATGTTGTACAATCTATATGGTGCAATACATGTGCTGTAATTAATTTATACCCATGAGTTGACACATCCCATGCTTTTGCAAACATCACACCTGCCTACCCGCAACTTGGTTTGCAAAGCCTCTGAACACCGTGACAGGTACCAAATGGCACTTGGTAACGACACCGACGCCGACGACGACAGCGACGTCGACGACGACGCCGACGATGACGACTACGACAACACCGACGACGTCTCCGACGACTTCGACGACGACACCGACGACGACGACGACACCGACGCCGACCACGATGATGACGACGCCGACGACGACGACGCCGGCGACGACGATGATGACGTCGACGACGGCGACGACGACGACGACGGCGACGACGACGACGCCGACGTCGACGACGACGAAGACGACGACGACGACGCCGAAGCAGACGACGACGACGACGACGTCGCAAACGAAGACGACGACGACGACGACGAGGGAGGAGGGAGGACGATGCCGGCGACAACGACGACAACGACGATGGAGGAGTGAGGACGGCGACGCCGGCGACGACAACGACGAGGGAGGAGGGAAGACGACGACGACGACGACGACGACGACGACGGCGGCGACGAAACAGTTGGAACGACGACGAGACGCCGACGACGGACGACGACGACGACTAGGGAGAAGGATGAAGGACGACCACGTCGACAACGACGACGGAAACGACCACGACGACGAAGAGGACGACGACGACGAGGAAAGACAGAGGATGACGATGGCGACGACGACGACGAGTGAGGAGGGAGGACGGCGACGACGACGACGACGCAAGAGCGCGCGCGCACGCTTTTGTTGAAAATCCGTGTTGCCAAACCTTGTGTTTTTTGTATGTTATTTGGACGCGATTTTGAAATCCGTCCGACACCGAAGGTTTTTGAAGGATTTCGGCATGCGCGCGCGACGACGCGCGCGTCTGCACTTGTTTCTTTGCAGAGGATTCTCGCGACGGCACGCGCGCACGGGCCTTCGAAAGATTTCGACATGCGCGCGCGCGAAGCCCGTTTGGTAGTTTTTTGGGGAAATCTTGAACTTCTAAGGAGAACCGAAAGATTTCGCAAGAGCGCGCGCATCAGCTTTTTTTTATAGATAGAAAATCCGCGTTGCGAGCCCATGTGTTTTTTTGCATGTTTTTCGGACATTCGTGTTCGAACTCCTCCCGGAACCGAATGTTTGTTTTGAAGGATTTCCGCATGCGCGCGCGACGCCGCGCGCGTGCGCACTTCGTCCCGTGTTTTTGCAAATGTTTTTTTTGGGGAACTTATGATTTTGGATGAACGAGTGTGCGCGCATAGCATTTTCTGCAGAGGATGGCGGGGGGGGCGGTACCGGCCTGGCTGGGATTGTATGAATTCATATGTGGGATGGACGAGTGTGCAGAATCATATGTTCATTGCAATGCGAAAAGGTGTACCGTTAACTCTGTGTGTGGGGGGGGGGGGGGTAGAGTGTATTTTTAGAAAGGAGAATATTTTTGATGTGGCGCAGCTCGTGTGATGTATACGCGTGGTGTTATCTACGCGGTGAAATTAATTGTTGTTCGTAGTGAGTTGTCCACTCCACTGCTCGCGCGAACATCCCACCCACCCACCCGCATTTTGGTTTGCGAACCCCATGCGGCGGCGATTGCGATGAGTGCTTGGAGCTGCCTGGTGATCATCTCTGCGGCCGCGCCACCCCGCGCATGCGCGCGGAGCGGCCAGGTAGTTTGGCGCGACCCACGCGGCCGCGGTGGTGCTGACCGCTCGGCACATCCACGCGGGCATTTGAGTGCGATTCGGCGAGTTGGGCAGGCGCGGTATCATGGCAGCGTCGACACAAGCAGACACGATGCTGATGATAGGAACGATCCGACAGCGACGACGGCACGGCCAGTGACGGAGCCGATGCCGATCACGCCGGCGACGATGACGGCGTCTTCGCGTCGGTGATGAAGGCTTCGAAAAGGCATTCGAAATGCGCGCGCGTGGCAGACGCCCGACAGTGGTTCGAATGGCTTTGTTTGACACGGACCGTGCCACCCCAGCACGCGCGCAAGGGCGTTCGAACGATTTCGACATGCGCGCGCGAACGCATAGTTTTACTTATCTTCCGCCAAGGCGCGCGCTTGCTTTTGTTGTGAATCCGTGTTGCGACACTTGGTGTTTTTGTATGTTCTTTGGACAACCGATTTTTACATCCTTCCGAATACCACGGTTTCTGAAGGAATTCGGCATGCGCGCGCGACGACGCGCGCGCGCACTTCGTCGCATGTTTTTGCGCAGGAATTTCGCGACGGCGCGCGCGCAAGGGCTTTCGAACGATTTCGACTCGTGCGCGCGCGAAACCCGTTTGGTAGTCTTTAAAACATATTTTTATGGTTTTCTGAAGAATTCGTAAGAGCGCGCGCATGTTTTTGTTGTTTGTTTGGAAATCCGTGTTGTAAAACCAGGTGTGTTTATATATGGTTTGGACATTAGTTTCCGAAACCCATCCGGAACCCAAGTTTTTGGAAGGATTCCAGCATGCGCGCGCGACGACGCGCGCGTGTGCACTTCGCCTTACGGTTTGCCAGGGACTTTTGGAAACTTGCGATTTTCGATTAACGAGTGCGCGCGCATAGTTTTTTGCATAGGATGGCGGGGGGGGGGCGATACCAGCCTGGTTGGGATAGTATGAGTTCACAGGTCGGATGGACATTGGGTCAGAATCCTATGTGTTTTGCATCGGTTTCCGGGGGGCCTGTAAATCCAGGGGGGGATGTTAGAACCTATTTAGTTTTTTTGTTATAGTTTCTTTCGAAAAAAATCATCGACGCGGTGCAATCCAGGCGAGGCGGCGACGGGGCGGGGACGGCGACAACATAGCCGCCAGGTTCCGCACCAGCCCAGACGATGTTCGGCGACGATGTGGCGACGGGGCGGCGACGGCGACAACAGCCGCCACACTGGCCCAGACGACGGGCGGCGACGAGGCGGCGACGGGGCGGCGACGGCGACAACATAGCCGCCAAACCGCCACACCAACCCGGTTCTTAAGAAGAAAAGTAATAACCCCTAAGTGCAAGCATTGTTTGGGGAAATGTGCGCGACGTTAAGGCGAGAACGACATTTTGAAATCGGCCCGCAACCCATCTTTAAAAGTGTTGTAAGCTTGAGGAGGAATGTGCTGGGCATTGGGGCGAAGGCGAGATTATTAAAACGACCCGCCCTCCATCCGTGAACTTGTTGCAGTTTTCAGGATAATAAACGGAGCGGAAGCATCAGGCAAATTGCCTGGCCCGCCTTACCTTCAAATTTGTTGGGGGTGCGACAAAGAGTTTAACGATGAGGAAATCAGATGTGGAAGTAAGAGTGCACGGAGGTTTGCACACTCCTCCTCTTCCTCCTCCTCCTCCTCCTCCTCCTCCTCCCCCGCCATGATGAATCCGAGGAGTTCCTTCTCCCTCCTCTCTGGCTCCTGATCCTGCTCGGTTGGGTTCTTCTTCCCCGCCTCTTTGCACTCCTCCTCATCCGTCCCTGCAGAGGAACAACAAAAGAGGAGGACGAGGACGAGGACGAGGACGAGGAAAAGGAGCAGGAGGGGGAGGGGGAGGGGGGAGGGAGAGGGGGAGGAGGGGGAGGAGGAGGAGGAGGAGGAGGAGGAGGAGGAGGAGGAGGAGGAGGAGGAGGAGGAGTGGGAGGAGGAGGAGGAGGAGGAGGAGGCGGAGGAGGAGGAGGAGGAGGAGGCGGAGGAGGAGGAGGAGGAAGAGGAGGAGGAGCAGGCAGGGGGAGGTTTTCGGCGAGCCGCCTGTGGAGCGCATGCTCTACGCCTTCCCAGGCTACTATGCCTATACAGTGGAGGCCCATGCCAAGAAACACCCTGCTTGCCTCCAGGGTGCCCTGGGTTTCTTGGGTTTCGATGGTTTCGCGATGGAAAGCGTGACCTTCCCACACCAAAAATCAAGGGACGCCCTTGAGTCTCAGGGTTGGGTTTCTTGTGGACGGTTTCTTGTGGACTGGCCCCTACTGTATGTTCCTCTTTGCCTCACTTCTGACTTGCTGGGCTCACAAAGGTCGTGTTTCGGATTCGTCACATCGCCTGCGGCTAGCCCCAGAGTTCTAGAGGGAGGACCCCCCCGTCCTCTCTCGGGCGTGGGGGGGGGGGGTGAACGGCGCTGCTGGCGACGAAGGATGCATCATCCTTCCCCCGTGCCTGTGGCGGCTACGGAGCCGCGGCGCTTCAGCTGTGGCTGCGTGCTACGAGTCGCGCGATGGCGAGAGACGCGGCTCTGGTGATCTTGGGCCGCTCAAGCATTCGTCATCGCTGACCCCAAATGCTACCAAGAGTATGTGTCGCACTCATGCTGAGTTGGTCTCACATGCGTTGCCGCACTGCCTCCTCCCCCGCCTCCCTCTTCCTTCCCCCTTCTTCCTCCCGCTCCTGCGTCACGATGTTTCGTCTCAGAGTTGGCTCGGCGCCTTCCGCACGTTGGGAACCTGCGGCGGTGTGTCATCAGTGCTGCTCTCGATGCCGCGCCCTTGAGGATTTGCTACGTTTCCCCCCTCCCTGTCTGCCCCTCCCCTCTTAGTGTCACCTTTGGCGTGGCAGAGTTCTGGGCAGCTCATTCCATACAGAGGAAATCAGTTGCCACCCTGGCGTTCCAGCTCCGATGACCATGTCCGTGCAGCGTAGGAGCTCGGGATCGTTTGACCGATCCCACCCCCTCGCGAGCACCACCATCACACCTCCCCACTCGGGGATGTACCCCTCGAGGCTCGAAGGGAACAGCCCACATCCCCAACTGTGGTGGTGAATCGGCCAGTGGGGCCGAGGCCACGCCCGTGGGAGGAGGAGGAGGAGGAGGAGGAGGAGGAGGAGGAGGAGGAGGAGGAGGGGGAGGATGAGGGGGAGGACGAGGAGGAGGAGGAGGAGGAAGCGGAGCTTGAGGAGGAGGAGGAGGACGAGCACGAGGACGAAGAGGAGGAGAACGAGTGGATCGGTCAGACGCTGCTCGGGAGCAGGCTCGCCGCGCAGGCGCGGGAGCGGCGCGCCCTCCCTCGCCCGCCCCCGGGCTCTCCCACGCCGGCCCGCCGCCGCCCGAGGGTCCTGGCGTCGATGGCCCAGGCGGGCCCCGTCCCGCCCGGCACGAAGGGCTTGGTCACGGAAGGACCGGGCACAGTGCCCAGCAGCGGTTCTGGTTCTTTCTGAGCAGGGCACGCTGTCCGCGCCGCCGCGGCCTGTGTCCATTTGAGGCACAAAGGCCGCCTGCCCAACAGCGGCCGCTGTTGGTTTGGGACGACATGTGTTGTTGGGCACTGTACCAATGTTTGTCCGTACCCATTTCGGGCGTCCAAATTTGCCCTCCTCCCGCTCCTCCTCTCGGCGGCGAGCGAGGGGGGGAAGTGAGAAGGAGAAGGCCTTCTCAGGAGGCGGCGGGACTTCTCGGAGGCCCTCGCGGTCTCTGAGAGCTCGTTTGTGTTTTCGGGGAAGGCTTAGAAAACTTCTCAGAAGGCCGGGAAGCTTCAAACATTCTGAGGAGGCCCGCCCCTCCTCACTTACCCCCCAGGCGCGCCTCCTATCCTCCCCCCCCCCCCCTCCCCCCCCTTCCTTATCCCCCCTGCCCTCCTCCTCCGCCTCCGCCCCTCCTCCCTCCTCCCCTCCCTCTCCCTGCCTCCCTTCCTCCTCCCTCCTCTCCTCCTCCCTCCTCCTCCTCCTCTCCTCCTCCTCCTCCTCCTCCTCCTTCCTCCTCCTCCTCCTCCTCCTCCTCCTCCTCCTCCTCCTACTCCTCCTCCCTTTCCTCCTCCTCCTCCTCATCCTTCCCTCCCTCCCTCCTCCTTCCCCTCTCCTCCTCCTCCTCCTCCTCCTCCTCCTCCTCCTCCTACTACTACTACTACTACTACTACTACTACTACTACTACTACTACTACTACTACTACTACTACTACTACTACTACTCCTCCCTTTCCTCCTCCCTCTCCTTCTCGTCCTCCTCTTCCTCCTCCTCCGCCTCCTCCCTTATCTCATCCTCTCCTCCCTGTTCCCCCCCCCCCCTCAGGGAAACGGGCCCTGAGGTTCGAAGCTCGAGGTTCGAAGGTCGCGGCTTTTCTAGCGTTTTCGTCGGTTCTCGGCGGCGTTACAGCCTCGGGGTGCCTTCAGCATCTGCGCCTTGCGGAGGGCGTTCCGGGGGTGTGCGGAGGGCGTTTCGGGGGTGCCCAGATCGTCCCGAACGGCCGCCGGAGGCCCGAGTTATCTCAAGCGCCTTCGGTGAATCACCGCCGCCCCCTGCCTTTTGGAATCGCCCATGTGGCCGAGCGTTGTGGCACGAGGTCTGGCAAGCTATCGGACCATGTGTTCCTCCAACCGTTGTGGAAACTTTCGGGGAACACTTGGGGGAGGATGGCGGCGAAGATCACGAGGAGAAGGAGGAGGAGGAGGAGGACCAGTGTAAAGCCAAGATTCATCAACGATGTTGGAATTAACCCTCCCTCCAAGCTCCCCCTTCATAGGCCCCCACAACGGTTCATTTCCATTGAGGGAACTGCTTCGTTGTAAGACAACCGTTTGAAGATCCTGAAGCATGCCAAAAAGGTGTTCTCGGGATTTCAACGCCTCGTACAAACCTGACTGCTGCGTCTTGATGACCCACCCAAAATCGTACGAGAGCGCCGTTTTTGGAGCTTCAACACCACTTGCACCCGAATCCGTCCAAAACGCCATTTGTGGTACGTTGATCGTGGGAATCAGTGAAACTCTTGCAACATTTGAAAAACGAATGTGCGCGGCGCTAAGGCGAGAGCCACATGTTGAAAACGAACAGCCCTCAATCCGTGATTTTTTGCAAAATTTTGAACCGAATGGACGCGGCGCTAATGCAAGAGCCACACTTTGAAAACCACCCGCCCTCAATATGTAAAACTCCTGCACATGTTTAAAACGACTGTGCGCGGCGCTAATGCGAGAGCCACATTTTGAAAACCACCCGCCCTCAACCCGTGAATCTCTTGCTGTGTTGTGTAAAAAGAATGTACGCGGCGCTAAGGCGAGAGCCACAGGTTGAAAAGGAACAGCCCTCAATCCGTGAAATTCTTGCAAAACTTTAAACCGAATGGACGTGGCGCTAATGCGAGAGCCACATGTTGAAAACCACCCGCCCTCAATATGTGAAACTCCTGCAACTATTTAAAACGAATGTGCGCGGCGCTAATGCGAGAGCCACATTTTGAAAACCACCCGCCGAATATTTTGCTTGTTTATGTAAAACGAATGTTCGCGGCGCTAAGGCGCGAGCCGCATTTTGAAAACCACCCGCCCTCAATCTGTGAAACTCTTGCAATTGTTTAAAGCGAATGTGCGCGGCGCTAAGGCGAAAACCACATTCTGAAAACGACCCGCCCTCCATCTGCGAAGCTGTTGTCACTTTATAAGTTTCAGAGGCATGAGTGGTGAGGAAGTCTCAGGCGAAACACCCGGCCTGCCCTAAAAATCTGGCCTCGGGGTGCGACAGGGAGGAGTTATCTATAAGCAGAAGGAATGGAGGAGGAGGAGGAGGAAGAGGAGGAGGAGGTGGCATCCTGGGAGCCTTTGGGGGCACTCTTGGGGCCTCCTGGGGGCTTCCTGGGAGCCTCTTGGAGGCATCTTGGGTGCCTCCTTGGGTCTCTTGGGGGCCTTTCGAGGCTTCTCGGGGGCCTGTTTGGCCGTCTTAGGGCATTCCTGGCCTGTCTGACACAGTCGGAAGCCGTATTAGGGGGTCTCTTCGGGCCGACTTGAGGCCCTCTTGGGGTGCTCCAGGGCTGGCCATCCTGAAGGCCTCTTGGGCGATCTTGGGGTCATCTTTTGGGGCTCTTGGGCCGTCTCGGGCCGTCGGAAGGCGCACAAGAAGCAAATACAATAATCCTTCAAAAACCCAGGGAAAATCAATGATGATGTTCGTCTCTTCGGGCATTCCTGGAGGTCCTCTTGGAGGCCTCTGGGGCCGTCTTGGAGACCTCTTGTGGGCCTCTTGGGCCGTCTTGGACCATCTTGGAGCCACTTGGGGCCGTCCTGGCGAGGTGCCGTCGCATCATCTGTCTGTTTCCGCCACTCCGGCCTTCGTGTCGAAGCGGGGGTGGGCCTCCCGCATCTCCGCCCTTGCGTCGCAAGGGGGGCGTGGAAGATGCAGCGGTGCCTACGGGGGGGGAATTCCTGCATGCGTGGAGCGGTGCCTGCGATGGGAAACTCTTGCTCTCTCTCTCTCTCTCTTTTTCTCTGTTTTGTGCTTCTCTCTCTCTCTCGCTCTCTCTCTCTCTCTTTCTCTGACTGCGCTGTGCGCGGCCCACCAGGCGCGCGCGTCTCAGGGAGGCGCCCCGACTTCCAGAGCGGGCTCCGTCCCCCGGGGGGTGGGGCGCACACAGGTGAGCTGTCAGGCTCGCCCCTTCCGTCCACGCATGGAGGCCGCGCGGGATAGATTCGGAGGCCCCGAGGGCCTCGTGGGCGAGCTGAGGAGCACCCCACGTCCAACAGGAGTTTGGACCCCTGGCGAGGGGATGGGTGGGGGGAGAGGGGCGGACGGCCACACACACCTCGCGCGTTTTCGTCCAGTCCCGGCAGGCGCGGCTCGGTGGGCTCCTTCGTTTCTCTCTTCTCCTTTCCTTCGAACTCGCGTGCAGGCCGGCATTTCTTGTGCCACCGAAGCGCAGTTGAGCCAGTTTTTGTTCCCAGCCGTTCGCCCTACATCGCTTCCGCTGTGATCCGATTCGGTCTGATTTTCGTCCTCTTCGTCTTCGCCCCCGTCTGCGTGGCAGTATCAGTCCTCTTCCTCGCATTCAGCTTCCCATTCGTCCTCGACGCGCTCCCCGCCCTCCTGATTGTAATCGTCGCGATCACCGTCCTCGTCGTTGGATCCATCGTCGTTCTCTGCCTCCGGCTCCGCCTCAGTTTCCTCCTCTTCGTCCACCTCGCTTGCCGCGAAGAGCTGCAGAGTACCGCCCGTCAGCGCGCCTGGCCCACCACCCTTTCACCCCTCGCTATTGGCGCGCAGGCGCTCGCCCAGAACCTCGTGGCGCGCAGAGACAGGGTGCCCAGCACCGAGGCCCGTCGGGTCTCCTGGTGTTGAGCTGGTGCCGCCTCTTCTTTGCCGCTGCTGACCGAGAGACTTCCCCTGCCCCACGCCCATTCTGCAGGATTCCTTCGGATTCTCCTGGATCCCTGCAGTCTACCCGCAGCCTTGGGCGGGCAGCGGGTAGAGCACGGACCACGCCCACGGATAACTTAAGCCATGGGTTGGGGAGTGGATCGCCCATGGGCTGGCCATGGACAGCCCAGGGGCAGGTCATCGGCAGGTCACGGGTAGCTGTTGGGATTGCCACTGGCTTGCCGCGGGGCTCCACGCGGCGGAGTTCTTGGATCAGCGACGCCCTCCCGCCGTTCGGCGCCTCTGGCGTCGCCCCTGCCGTGCGTTTCCCTTTGCGTACCTACTGCAGGCTCGCGCCGTGTCGACGCTGCGGCGAACCCAGCGCGGGCGATCAAGGTTCAACGGCGCAATTGGGCTGGAATCGGCCGACATCGATCGATTTCCGCTATCGGACAGCCGCGATCGCAAAAGGTTGGACGTTCAACGTGGTGTCATCAACCAGCGCACGAGTCATCACGGCACGAACCTGCTGTGCAGTTCGACCGCATCATAAGCATCAGTCTTTTTCCAAGGGTGCCCTTGCGTTTTTGCCTCTCGATCTTTCTCAGCCCCTGTCTTTTAGCCATTGGCCGTGGGCCTCCAACCTCGGCTTCAATTTCAAGTCGGGCATGTCCTTCTACAGCGGGAATATTCAAAAATAGTTTGAAATAATGTCTGGAATCGATGATTCTGTTTTTTGTGTTTGTTTATTATTGAATCGCTTCGCTCATTCCGCCGGCCCATTTCGCATGACTGAGCCTCTTGGGGCCGCTGGGGGGCCTCTTCAGCGTCGCTTGGGGGCCTCCTGAGGGCCTCTTGGGGGCTTTTGGGGCCTCTCAGGGGCCTCTTGAGGCCTCCTGGGGGCTTCTTAAGGCCGAGGGCTCGAAGTTTTGTTTTGTGTTCCCCCTTTGGGGCATCGCTTGGGGCCCTCTTGGGCCCCTCTTGGGCCGTCTTGGATGCCTCTGGGGCCGTCTTGGAGCCCTCTTGGGCCATCTTGGGGCCTTCTTGGGAGCTTCTTGGGCCCTCTTGGGGCGATCTTGGGGGCCTCTTGGGCCGTCTTGGGGCGTCGGGAAGCCGAAAAGATGGACACGCCAAAATCTGCCCAAAACCTAAGGAAAAGTAATGAATTTTGCCTCTTGGGGCCCTCTGGGGAGTGCTCTTGGAGGCCTCTTGGGGCGTCTGGGGGCCATCTTGGGCGTCTTGGAACGATCGTGTGGCATCTCGGAGCACTCTTGAACCATCTTGGAGGGCTCTTGGCGGCCTCGTGGCCCTTCTTGGGGCTCTCTGGAGGGCCACGGGGGCGGCGCCCAGGAGGAAAACCATCTCTGACCCGAGTCTGCCGGGGATCGCCCGGGGTACTTTTCGTCCGGGGACCCCCAGGGGCCGCCCCGCGCGCGCGCGAAGTAGAAGTATGATTTAGCAGTTACCGGAGATCTTAGCACGCCTCTGGCCTGTTGGGCCGGCGAATTGTTTGACTATTCTGTGGTTTCGCCCAAAATCCGCGTGTAGGAGGACATGCCCATGCCCGACCTAACTTGGACTTGGGCGTCCAAAGGCCTTGCGCTCTTTCCCCGTATCCTTACTGTCCGGCCTCACTGCTCCCTAACCTTTTCATCTCCCAACTTGCTCGGGCCTGCCCCTGTCGGGCGGGCCCAGGGCCAAGGTCAATCGTTCCAGAGCGTTCGGGCACGCTCTCAGAGTGCTCGGGAACGCTCTGGCACGGCCGCGACGTCCGGCATATTCTCCAGAACGCAGGATCTCAGAAATCTCCGATTCATCCCGATCGGGTTTGATTCCGTTCCTAGGTTCGTTTTGCCCGTCTTCTTGCGGTAAGGGTGCACCATAGTGTTCCCCACATGTGGCGCTTGATGTAAGGCAGCCATGCGCGGCTGCTCGTGCTGACCTCTTGGGCCGTATACCAGTGCTGCCACTGGGTGCTTCAATCACCCACTTGAAGATTGGACAATTTGTCAAGGCCCAGTCTAATCCTTCCTCCCCTGCCCAACCCGCCCTGCCCTCCTCATTCAGGCGATCGCAAACATGGATCAAGGGGGCGTGGATTAGCGACGGGTCCCGTTTCCATGGGAAATCGAAGATTTCCGCCGCCGAGTGAGGCGGCACCGGCCGCACTTTGGGGAGGGCACCTCCCCCGATCCATGGATTTGGCGACCGCGCGCCAAATCCATGGATCGCTAATCCATGTTTGCGCGCCCCCGAAAAAAGCGGAGTCGACTGTTGGAGCCGTCCGGAGTCTGGGCGTCTGAGGTGGCCCAGTCTTGGTTCTGGCCAGCAGGAAGGGCGGGCAGGTTTGACGTTTTGGGTTCGAGGAGGTGTTCTGCCTTGTTCGGCCTGTGGATGCTGTTTTTCGGGGACCCTCAAAAATGGATCCAGGGTAACAAACATTGCGCCGAATGGACCCCCAAAGGGGTGCAGGGACACAATGTGAGAGGATTTGGTTTCACCCCTCTCATGACCGATTCTCTGGGCCCCAACCAGCTCAGAACCCCCCGGCCGCCTCCAAGTCAATTGCACGGTCATTGTCGCCCAAGCTGCCCGCGTAATGAAGGGCGCGCGTAAGCGGCGTCGTTCCCACTGCAGCGTGCCGCGCTGGCGGCCCGCGGAAGCCACCGCGTGATGACGTTATGTCATCTCGCGCAGGACCCGTTTCTTTTCGTCGCTCATATCCGTTTCCGCGGCCTCGCGAGCTGGGCCTCTGGGCCGCGACCCCGCGGATGCGGGGTGCTTTTCGCAGATGCCCCGCTCGGAACCTATCCGTGCGACCGCATATCCATGGTTTCGCGCCCCAGAGTCCAGTCCGCGAGGGCGGCGATGCGGATATGTTCGCCGCTCGTGGCGGGACCTCCCTGACAGCCTCTCGTAGCGAAAAAAGAACGGACGGCTTTTGCAAATTTTCGTCCTCCGGGGAGCGGTCTGGTGGCGCGGCCGCTGGGCCTGGCAAAGGCCCGCAGAGGCCCAAGCTGCAACAGGATAAAAGCTAGCCGTATCCACTGTACCAGGCAGGCGTCCCTGGTGGGGTCCGAGTAGATCGTGTCGGAGGATCGCGCCGCCTGGCCTAATTATGCATCGGTGATGCGGTTCGATGTGGAGTCCGACTCTCACCATGCTGAAATCGCCGATGCATCGCCGACGCCGCTTGTGCATCGGTGGTGCATCGACGATGCTGTGCGATCCGCCCATCTACTCGGACCCTATGTGGGAGGCCTCTAAAAAGCTAGTCGCGTCAATTGTGAAAAGACCGCTTGTGCTTGCAGGGCCGCGCCTCGTTATAAGAATCACGTGTGTGAGTTCTGCGCCATTCCCACGCAGGTCTCGTCTCGACCGCCGACATCTGGCTCGCAGGAGAGTCAAAGAGACAGTGGCATACCTACACGACCACCCTTTGTCGCAGGCCTAGAGGTTGACACCAACACCAATATCGGCGGTGTGCCTCCACCGAGGGAAGAAGATCCCGATCTCGGTGATGGTGGTAATATTCTGGTTTCCAAGGTGACCGACATATCTTCACCAGCACCGAAATCTAGGATCATCTTCACCCTTTGGAGGTACCCCCCTGTATTGGTGTTGGTGCCCATTTCCAGGCCTCCAACTTTGGGTGATAAGGAGGTTCGGAGGGGGGAGGAACCAACGTCTCACTCAATCGATATCATTATCAAACTCTCTATCGATCTCACTATCGATCTCACCATCGCTCTTGCTATTGATCTCACTATCGGTCTCACCATCGATCTCACTATCCATTCAAATATCGATATCACTATCGACCGACGGGACACCGACGGGACACCGAGGAGACACTGACTGGACACCGACGGGACAGCGACGGGACAGCGACGTGGCAGCGACGGGGCACCGACGGGGCACCGACGGGACAGCGACGGGACACCGACGGGACACCACGGCGGGACAACCCGGCCACCGCCCGCCCACTGCAGGAGGTTCGGACAATTGTTTTGCCCCGCCCTAGCACCAGCGGAATCATTACCCTCGCCCTTCCATGCAGCCTCGCCCGCACGCACGACACGAACCCGAAACCGACATCGATTTCCGGGGGGGGGGGCCTCTCCGTTCCACGTCGATCTCCCCCCCACACCTCCGAAGACTGACGGAAGGGTGCCCAGCGCGGATCCCAGACGATCCACGCGGAATTCCATCAGTTTCTGATAGTGTAAGTCTTGTTTATCTCGAGAGGCCGTTGTTTCTTATCACCACGCGAGGGGCTCCGGGACCCCTCGCCGTCTCTGCCTCTCTCGGGGGCCCCCAGACGGTGCGGTGACCACACCGTGCGGTGAGTCGGTGGGGATCCGGGGTCCCCGCACGGTTCTGGGACGCGGGCCGTTCTCCGAGGACGCCTCGGGCGACAGGGGCCTCTGGGGTCCCAAAACCGTGCGGTGCGGTCTCTTGGGGTTCCGAGGTCACCGCACGGTCTGTCACCGCACCGTTTCGGGACTCCAAACTCTCCTCCCCTCGGGGCCGGCGCTTCCTCCCGGGCGCTCCTCGCGCGGACGGCCGCGGGTCCCGTAAAAGGGCTTTTGCGGGTTCCGAAGAGGGCAACACCACAGAGACATTCCGAAGGACGACAACGACGACGACGACGACGTCAACGACGACGACGACGACGATGGCGACGGCGACGGCGACAGCGACGGCGACGGCGACGGCGACGGCGACGGCGACGGCGACGGCGACGGCGGCGGCGACGACGACGACGACGACGACGACGACGACGACGACGACGGGGGGTCTGGGCCCCTTCGCGGTCCCACCTCCTCCCCTCGTGGTCTCCCTGCGCGCCCGAGGGCCCGATCGCGCGCGCGCGAGGCCCTGAGGGGCAAGCGGTGGGCCGTAGACGGGATCGGCGCCCTCAGCCACACGCTTGCGCAGCTGATCGTGCCTCCGCCCCCACGGCCCTGGCGGGGGGAGTTTGCATCTCATCGCTTGCAGCTCTCGAGGGAAGAAACACTCAGGAGCGAAAGAAGGACGTACATGTACATGAATCCACCTTGATTTCGAAAATACGCATTGCGCAAACGTTCGTGACACGAGATTGGTCTCGCGGACTGGGGGCCGTATTCATGTGCGTGGTTGGGCGCGCACGTCCTCTGTAGGCTCCCTACATCCTCCTCTTGTGCCAAACACATGACGGATTCGCGTATCCCCACCAGCCCATCCAGAAACAGATCGCCAGGCGAGTTACTTTCATCAGGGCAGTGTAGGAGCATGCAGTGTAACAACCGCCTTGGAAGCGTTTTTCTCGGAACTCTATTGGAGCCACCTTTTCTGAGGGCCTTCGCGGAGCCTCTTGGGACTTTCTTGGGGGCCTCTTGGGGCTTTTTGGGGGGTCTGGGGTCCCTCTTGGGGCGATCTTGGGCGCCGTACATGACAACGGGGGGGTCACAGAATCATTCCCCCACCTCGGAGGCTCAAAGATGGCGTCTTGGAGCCCTCTTGTCAGTATCGTTTAACCGATCCCTATCCCCATCCCCATCCACATCGCGAGCCCCACCGTCTCACCACCCTCAGTTGGGGATACGCCCCTCGAAACCCGAAGCGAGCAGCCTATATCCCCATCCAGGGGGGTGAATCGGCCAGTGGGGCCCAGCCCACGCTGGTGGGGATGGGGATCGATTAAACGATGCTGATCTTGGGCCGCTCTTGGAGCGCTCTGGAGCGCATTGAGCCCGTCTTGGGGTTTCCTTGGGCTCCTTTTGGGGCTCTCTTGGTCCATCTTTGGGCCATCCTGAAGCCTCAAAAGCCCATCGGAAGCGAAGAATCGAAGTGTTTGAAGGATTTTGACCTATTGGGGGTGCCCTGGAAGCCTCGAAGGGCACTTGGAGCCCTCTTGGGGCTGTCCTGAGGCTTCCTGGTGACTACTTTTTTAGCCATCTTCGGCTATCTTGAGCCATCCTGGACGCGATCTCGGGGACTCTGAGGCCCTCTTAGAGCCATCTTGGGCCATCTTGGACACCCCTCCGTCCCCCTCCCAGGCTCAGGGCAGGGGGTAGGGGGAGGGAGATCTTCCTCTCTAGAGCAGGGGAAGGAGGGATTTTGGCAGAGAGAGAGAGAGAGAAGGCAAAACTCGTTAAAGCACCTACGCCCAGAGGGCTGGTGGATTCCCAGCCTCCGGGGGCCTTCGGTGGACCCCGCGGCCGTCAACAAAACGACTCGGGGTGAAGGGGCGGTCCTGGGGAAGGGGTCCGGAACTCTGAGGAGTCAAGCTGTGAAAAAAAACACGGCGGAGGATGTCTGGGCATGATCGAGATGTCGCGGGATGTTTCTCACGCCAATCTTAGCCATGGCTCATGCTGTCCGCCGCCGATCCGCGAGGAGGATCCATCATTTGACGACGACCAGGATCGGCATCGAAGTCTCCGCGTTCAATCTTGGCCATGGTAGAACTGATCGTCCGGGTAGCCAGCAAGAACTGATGGACAGATTCGGGACCCTTGGGGAATAGTGGTGTGGATCGGCCTTAACCAAATTCTGCCAGGGGCACGTGCTGGTCAAGTCTCGTGAGCACCCGTGCGCGCTATTATTCCGTCTCGAGCCAGTATTTGTGCCCGCTGCCGTCCCTGGTCTCTTCCATGAGGGCGCCCGGCTGTACTAACAAGGCCGGGGTCGAGAGGTGCGATGTCGTGGCGCCTACATCGCAGAGCGGATTTCGTTCGGAAAACGACACGATGGGCCCAGAGTGTCCTGGAGGAGTTTGTTCCGGATTTTTACGTTAATTTCGTGCGGATTTCTGTTTGGCCAGGATTGAAGACTAACAGACAAACCACGTGACATTAATTTCGTTTTTCGCTCGCCGTTTCGGTGTTTCGCATGGACAAGAATCCGCTCAAAAATCCGCGGCAGCACGTCTGCAAGGTCGGTGCAATGAGCGATGTCGTAGAAGGACAATGTTTCGGTAAAGGCGTTGCGGCACCCTGAACGCAGCATCGATTATGCGGTAACTGGGCTGACACGGCCCGGGGGCTTGGCGCAAGAAAGTTGATTGCATGTATTGTCACTCGCCTGGACTCCTCCCGTTCCTTCTCGTCCTTGCCGTCCTTTTCCTCGTCGTCCTCGTCGTCCTCGTCGTCCTCGTCGTCCTTGTCCTCCATAATTCGAGGTCTGACGTCGCGAGAAAACATCAAGCAATGTAACATCCCGACTGGAGGCCTAGACTCTAGACCTCACCTCTCCACCGCACCGAGCAGCATCGATCCACGAGGGGCCCAGGGCCTGAGACAGGGCAGGAGGGATCTTGTTGAGTTTTTAGCGGCGCAAGGATTTGAGGGTCGTCCTCATCAGAAGTGTCATCATCATCGTCATTGTAGCCGTCATAATCGTCATCGTCATCATCATTATCCTCCTGCTTTATCGTCATCGTCATCGTCATCTTCATTCTCGTCATTCTCGTCATCGTCATTAGCCTGCAAGATCTTCCCCACAATTCTATCAAGCTCGGTCTCCATTCCCCTCATGGGAGTCCATCCTGAATGTCTCTCGTCCCGGATCAATGTCTGAAGATCCTGGCGCCCGAGACGGGCTTCCAGAGTTGGAAACGTCGAGCATGAAGTTCGAGTCTCTTTCTGCCCGGTTTCAAAATCTATACCTGGACTTGAGGCAGAGTTGCGCTTCGGCCCGAAATTCGAGTGGAACCCAGCCGTGGCGACGGGAAGCCCCCGGGAGGCACGGGCATGAAGAGGAGCGGCCGAGCACGCTGATTCTCGAACCTCGATCCTTGGAACCTGCCCCCCCGCTGGCCTCGTCCTCCTCCCTCTCCGCCTTCTCACCTCCGAGGAGTGCAATTTGACACAAGGGTTATGTCGGGCGTGCCCCCCTACAGGAGGATTTCGGACAAAAAAATGAAAATACCCCAAACATATTCCAAAAAGGCAAAAAATGCAAATAATGCCCCCCAGACTATTTTTGGAGTATTTTTTGATTATTTCTGGGGCATCGGGAGGACGGGCCCGACTTAATACAAGGGTAGGTTGCCTTTTCGTGGGCCCTCTCGTCGCCGCGCCTCGGCTGTGAACGCAGCTCGGAGACCTCGTACGTGTTTGGACCGTGGGGAGGGCTCCGGGGAGCGATTTCGAGCCGCTGTTGCCGCGTTTCGCCCTGCTCCGACCCTACGGCCGGGAGCTCGTCCAGTGGGCACACGGGCTCGACTTGCGTGGTAGGCAGGTTGGCGTGCTCGTGCAAGACAGCATGGGCTATTGATTTTTGTAGGGCTACTCCCAGAATGCCCCACCATCGCTGCAATAGTCCAATTGTCGTGCTTCGGCGTATCCAACCTCTCCAAATGCCATCCTCCGCATCCGCATCCTCGCCCTCCTTGTCTTAAGTCGGGCCTGTCCCCCTACAGGGGGATTTTCGACGAAAAAATAAGAAACACCACCACCATAGTCAAAAAATAAGCAAAACATAGTCTGGGGACTTTTGCGAGTATGTCTTAACCTTTTTGGAGTATGTTTGGGGTATTTTTTATTTTTCGTCGAAAATCCCCCTGTAGGGGGACAGGCCCGACTTAATCCTTGTCCTTGCCGTTCTGACGACGTCTCCTCTGTGAAGGAAGGGTCCCAGGGGAAGCCTCGGCGCGTGAGCCAGCTCTCTCAGATGAGGAGTCGAATTCGGAGGCGTCCGATCTTGCGTGGTTATGGATCGCATGACTCCAGGCCCGTCTCCGACAGCACCCCTGTCGTTCTATTCCCCCATTTTCGCCCTCGCCCTCGCCCCCCCCCCCCCCCCCTCCTTGCCGCCTCCTAGACGCCCAGGCCCACGGCTGCTCGACCATGTGTGCTGCACCCGTGAGGCCCTCGTGCGTTGGGCAGTGCGCGTGAATGCGACCCGTGGTTTGCGGGGCCTGTGGGCTCCTGGACAACAGTGGCAAGGATTAAGTCGGGCCTGTCCTTCTACAGGGAGAGTATTCAAAAATAGTGAAAAAATAGTCTGGGGGGCGATTTCCTGACAATTTTGAACATTTGGGGGGTATTTGTCAAGAATTTGTTTTGATTTGTCGCCCAGAATCAGCCTGTAGGGGGACAGGCCAGGCCAGGGGGGGGTACGCATCGGCCCCCGAATCGCCCATGGATCGCCGAGAGGTACCCGACAGCCCGCCCCGCCCGGGAATGTGCGGTTTCCCCATCGAGGGTATGCCGTCGGTCCATCGGCGAGCCAGTACCCCCCAACTTCTCCCTTTGCTCCACGCCGGCAGCGTGCGGATGTTCACCATCGCTCGATGTTTCTCAAGCAGCGGCGAGGCGTCCTGGCTCGCCTATAGGCTATAGGCCTACCAAAGACTGTTCTACGAACCTTTCTGACGTCTGCACGACATGTTCTTAGAGTATTTCTGGCTGAGAGTGCCGTGTTTTAGCGCATCGGATCGATGTTCTGAGAACATGCTGGGGATTCTAAGAACACTTCGTGGTAGGCCTATAGAAATGCCGGGACGGTCGGTCCCTGCTCAAGTTCCCCCCCCCCCCGGCAGCCCCAGACATCCGCCGTCGTGATCTTTTAGGCAGCGTGGCTCCCCAGAGGTCTGAACCCCTTCCCCGGGACCGGCGTTTCATCCTGAGTCGTGTTTTGACGGCCCCTAGGCCCGAGAGAGTCCCCTGAGGCTGCACATAGAGCATGCCTCTCGCCAAAATATTCGGTCGAGATTCCCTGATCGTATTTCGCTGAAGGGATCTTAACAGAGGCAAGAGAAAGGACCGCAGCAGAGTCCCACAGTAGGGACGGGGAGCCCTAGACCGCCCAGTCTGGAACCGTCAGGCGACAGTTTCGCTTGAGACTTTCTCACAATTCATCCCTGAAGCGTGCTCTCACCTCAATGCCGGCCATTTGTTCGGTTGTTTGGTCCAGACGGCCACGATCCTTGGCACAAACAACTAAGGTGCGCATGGCCGTACTCTCACCCCTGTCCCTTACAGCCGACCTCCTACTCCTCGCCCCGCCTCTTCACCTTTGCTGCTATTAAGATGCTTTGCCAGGGTATTTTCAAGCAAATCATGCATGTCGGGGAGCGTTCCCCCTCAGCACAGCAGAGGGAGGGAACGCCCTTGCCTCCCTGGGGGGGGAGGGGGGCGTGCCCAGGGCCCGGGCCGATCCCACCACGGGGTGGGGCCGAGCGCATCGGGGGCCCTCGTCGTGAGCAAGAGCACGACGTCGGAGGTCTCGGTCCTCGTCCTCTTGCCGCTAGAAGGGGGCCTTGCCGCGTCGTCGTCGTCGCCGCCGTCGTCGCCGTCGGCCCCTCCCGCTCACGGCGGAGGCCAGGGGCCTGGGCCTGGCGGACGGCGAGGCGGGCCGGGCCCGGCGGCGGGCCGGCGCTCGCGTCCCTGGCGGGTCACCTCCCGGGAGGTCGGCCGAGCTCCCAGGGTTCGGGGGCGGCAAGGAGGGGGGTGACGACCAGGGGGGGGGGGTGTCATGGCGTCGGCGTGGGCCGTGATCTTTCCTCAGATTTCATGGTGCCTTTTCCTACTTCAGTACGTCCCCGGCCCCCCCCTCCACCGATTCATCGTCGATGCGTCGTCGCTGAGGCGCAATCCTCCGACCCCATCTACTCGGACCCCATCTGGGAGGCCTCTATCTCTTCTGTCCCCTGATATCGAAGAGCAACAACTGAATCAACATGCGTTCTCGGAGGTTCGCGCTTATTGTGAAGGCCTGACGGCCAGTGCCCCCGCCGTCCCTGAAAGACATCGACGACGACCAGGGGGGGAGGAGGAAGAGGCGGAGATAAGGAGGAGGAAGAGGAGGAGGAGGAGGAGGAGGAGAGTCGCCACTTCCTCTCGAATCAGGAGGATTCAGGCGATCACGACGGCCCCCAAGGGGCTGAAGCTTCGTCGGGGCTCGGGGTGCCCGCCGCCGCGGATGGGGGGCGCTGCCCTTTTTTCAGGCCCTGAGAGGAGGCCGCGGCGGCGGGCGCCGCCCGCGGCCATGAGAACGCTCGCTGCGCGATGTGCTGCGGCGGCGCTGCAGACCATGCTTACGATTGGATTGTGCAACCCGCAGAGCCTTCCGCCATGGCGTGAGGAGCTCGTGAGCCAGGCCATGCGCAACTTTGATATTGCAGTGCTGCCAGTGACTCAGCAGCGTCAGCGGGACCCTGACGTGCCCGTCACGGCGATCCGCACTAGCAAACATCTTGCGGTCAGCTGGGGCTGGAGCAGAGGGAGATTCACAAACAAGAGCTGCGGCATCACCATGCTCCTGGGCCGCAAGGTACGCCGTGCCTGCATCCGCCAGATATTCAGCCCACCGCCCAAGCTCGGCATCACAGGGCGCGTCGGATGCATAAAGATAGCTACGGCGACGTCCCTCATCCTCCTCTTCGGGGTATACCTCACGCCGTCTGAATCTCACCAGGAGAGGACCGAGGCCATGCAGCGGATCCTGGGCTGGGTCACGGACGTGATGGCTCAGGTGGGCAATCGCTACCTGGTGGTGGTTGCTGGCGATTTCAACGAGCAGCTGGGGCTCGAACGCCAGGATGTGGTCGCTGGCAGGCATGGACAGCATAGGCACTCTCGACTGGTACCCTGGCTGCGTGGATGGGCCGAGACGAACTACATGAAAGCAGCGAACATTCATATTCGACTGCCAGCGAGTTACCACGGAGAGTATCGCAACAGCTGGATAGACCACGTGTTCGTTCCCACCACGGCGATGAGGTTCGTGCCGATGACCAGGATGCGACCTGACTTGATGAGGACGATGACGCCGTTCCCTACTGCCGAGCTGCGGGATCACTGTCCCATGGAGATCCACCTGCAGTACCATCTGGGCTACGCACAGAGGCAGGGGGACGGACAGAGGCTGGATAGGGACACGTTGATGCGCTGTCTTTCGCGTGGAGTACTGCGACGAGAGTTCTGTCAAGCGGTGGCGGCAAATTTGCAGGCCAACGCTGCGAGATGGGACGAGGCTGACAACGACCCCACGCCAGAGACGAAGCACCAGATCTGCGCGGCGGCATTGCGGGAGGCGGCGGGGGCGGTCTTCCCCGCAAACCAGCGGCTCGGCAACCAGCACCGCGAGCTATCGGAGCAACGCGTGGCGGAGCTCGAGCGCAGGGCCAAGGTCGCACAGGACCTCGAGCAGCTGCACTGGCGCCGCGCCCAGGAGATGGACCAGCAGAGCTTCAACTACCGCGTCGACAGGTGCCGCGCTCCCGCCCCAGAGATAGTGGAGACCCGTGGCCCCTCGCAGCGCCCTGCTTGGACCCGCGCGGAGCTGGCGTCTCTGAGCGGCGCTCCACCCGGCGACTCGGGGCCACGGGAATCGCTAGAGGGGCGGAGCAGCGCGCCGCACGGACTTCAATTTCGCGAGGGGGGGCCTGGGGCTACCGAGCAGGCGGGGGGGCCGACCCCTGTGTCAGCCTTCGTCCGAGAGCTGTTGGTCACCGAAGCTCGACTACGACGACTTACAGGAGAATGCAGGGCCAGGACCAAGGAGCACCAGAGCATGGTCTTCCAGGAAAGGATTGGCGAGCTAAAGGAAAACTGGAGGGTGCTAGATTTTTCGCGAGTCTATGCGCTTCGAGGGCGACCGGCTGGCAGGGGGAAGGGCATTCGCAAGCGTGCGTGCATGCGCGGCGGCGAACTGCGCGCTGGGCGCCGCCGAGTGGAAGGAGGGCGTTGCCAAGTCGGGGGTCGCAGGGGGCATGAGAGCGCGAGAGACCAGCTGGGGCGCCCACGTGGACAAGGCAAACGAGAGGGGCGAGACATTACGAGCATTGGGAAGGTGGAAGGACCCAATACACGACAACAGCCTACACGACGAAGTCCGCCACGACCTGGAGTCCATTCAGAAATGCAGCCGAAGAGCGCCAAGAGGAACGGCTTTTCCAGAAAGGGGCCGTGCACCGAGATGATGGCGATTTGTTTCGCGCCGATGGAGAGGGTCGACAGTGCGGGCATGGGGCTAGGGTTCGTAGACTCCGAGCCGATCAAGGTTGACAACTTCGACTACTGCTTGTGAGACCTACTGAAGGACACGAGAGTCAAGAGGACATTCGCGCAGTCAGGGAAGAGGACACGAGCCATCGGCCTTGACAAGAACAAGGGCAGGGCTGACTTGAAGGGCCAGCGGGTGATTCATCTCTACGACCATCTCGCCCAGGCCTGGCACAGCGGCATACGACGACGACAACTACCTGGCGAAGGGCCCGAGTGGGCGCATGGCAGCCTGCCGCGCCGCCGCCGAGAGGCAGCACTGCTCTCTCCCCAGTCGGCTTGCTGGAGGCTGCGCGGCGCCAACATTTCGGTGGCGCAGCAGAACTGCGATGCGGCAGGCGCATTTAACGCGATCAAGTGGGAGCGCTGGGACGTTCACGCGGGCTCCAGATTGCAGGCTAACGACAAGCCGTACTTCGCCCAGCTGCTCAGCGACTTGTGCGCCACGGTGACTACGCCAGACGGCGCGGTGGAGTTCGCGCCAGAGGAGGGAGGAGCTATGGGGGGTAGCCTGATCCGGTGGGGTTCGTCGCGACGTACTCTGCAGCCGTGGGCGACGCCTTCGAGAACCTGAAGGAGGAGGAGGAGAGCTACAGGTGGCTGGAGACGACGATCCCAGGCGGGGGAGACACGGTCTACGACATCGGCGCGGCGGCGTTCGTGGACGACGCCGCCAGGATCATTCCCATCCCCAGCTCCGCCACGGGCAACGACATCGCCCTGCGCCTCAACCGCGCCACGGCCACCACCAACAGGGGGATCAGCGCCCTGGGGGGGGACTAGACGAGGACAATACGGTGAGCACGCTGGGACTAAGAGGGCCAGGAGCAACGACAGCGACGAAGAAAGTGGCAAACTCAAGGGCGTTGAAGGGGACCGTGGCCAGGAGTGCAAGGCTACCTGGACCCATCGTGGCGGCCGACCTGGCGGCGCGCGACGAGGTCAAGGCCAGGGCGCGTGCTGCTGAGAGAGGTTGGTACAACATGGGCTCCACTTGGTGCCGCGAGGTCCCGCTGAGATGCGCCAGACTACAGTTCATTAGCTACGTGTACGAGGCAGCGCTGTCCGCGCTTCACGTGCTGCTGCTCACGCCCAGCCAGATCGGAAGGCTGACCAAGGTGCTGACGAAGCTGCTGCGATCGCTGCTGGGAGGCCGACGCACCATGTGGAAGGAAGACGGCAGCGCCAGGACACTGACGAACGAGCAGGTGTGGCAGTACTGGAAGTTGGCTAAGCCCGAGGTGGAACTACGGGTGCGCCGTCTGCGACTATTCCAGCGGATGACGAGGTTCCCAGAGGCGCATCACCCGGCGATCGCGGCGGTGTCCGGCCAGTGCAGATTCGAGGAGGAGATGGGCATCGCCAGGCTCGGAGCAGACGGATGGTCGTTGCCTGCGCCCACCCCGTGGCGCCTGCAGTTGGAGGCGGGCCTGGCCGAGACGGGGCGCGCCAGCGGCGACTGCCGCGACATGTGGGAGTGGTTGCAGGAGGCCCCCGGCGGCATGATGGACTTGTTTTTCGAGGGCGGGGTCCACGATCAGTTCGTGGAACTGGACTTGAGAGCCCTGCGCACGGCGGCCTTTGCCGCGCAGGTTCCCCCGTCCGAGCACTGGGGCGGGGAGAGCGCGATCCTGGGGGCGGCAGCCCAGTAAGTACTGGCAGCCGCCCGAGGCGCACTGTTGCAACGAAGCAGTCGACGGGTCGATGTGCGGAAAGTTATTCTCCTCATTCGCTTCGCTGCAAACTCATCGTCGCGTCGTTCACGGGTTTCAACGCGAGTTGCGTCGCCTGGTCGTTACGAATCAGTGTCCGCGGCGTCTCAGCTGCTTTCCGTCGAAGGAGGGGGCGACGCAGCATGTTTCGAGGGTGGCAGAAGGATGGGCATCGAGAGGGGCGACGAGGAGGAGGAGAATGCGCATGGTCGATCACTCCCCGCGGCACCGCGAGCCGATCGAGCCAGCGAGTTTGACATGTCCAGCGCGCGACCTGTCCTTCGTCCATTTGCTCGAGCTCCAAGTCCATATCCGTTCTCACCATGAGGGGCCCGCTGGCCTCTCCTGTAGCGCTGCTAGCAGCGGCGGCGACAGCAGCTGGCAAAGGCGCAGGAGGGTCAGCGCCAGAGCCGAAGAGAAAGCCCAATAAGAAGAAGAAACGAGAAGGCGATGGTGGAGCTGGGCCTGCAGGCGACAACTTCAGCGGGGCGCCCGACGGGATGATGGCGCGGCTGCAGAAGGGGGTGCTGGACACGATGCAAGGGCAGCGCGGGCTCGAGGGCGCGCTGTGCGATTTCCGCCTCATCCCCGTCGACAGCGAGACGGTCAAAGCGGCGGAGGCCAGCGGCAAAGAGTACAACGACGCGGCGGAGTCCAAGGCGTACTCGCCGGAGGAGCTCGGCAGCCCGCGCATCCAGGTGGCTAAGGCCGTGGTCAACAGCTTGGCGAAGGTCGATTTAGGCAACGGGCAGCAGGCGCGGCTCGCTCAGTGCGCGACGCAGCTGCTCACCGACGCCTTGGAGGAGCTGCCGTACTTGACGGGGGAGCTCTGCAGGGCGCTCCGACTGAGGCGGGCCCGCTTCGACGAGGGCGAGGCGACGACGGCCTACAGCAAGCTGACGACGGCGACCAACCCGCTCACGATGCTCCCGCTCGAGGACCTGAAGTGGCTGAAGGCGCGCGGAGTGGGGCGCGCCAAGCAGGAGATGCAGGAGACGGAGGACGACGGCCCACGGTGCGTGGGCGACATGGAGCTGCGCCCGATCGTCGCGAGGGACGCCCGCACGGCCATGCTGCGCATCTTCGACCACGAGCAGGCCATCACGTCCCAGGGACAGCCTCCGCGCTCGCGGCTGGAGCGCGACCTCCAGAAGGACCTGCGCGAGATGCAGAGGAGGAGCTGAGGGAGCTGCGCACGCAGATCGCGCAGGTGACTACGATGTCTCGCGCCACCGAGAGTGAGCGTGCAAAAAATATGCCCAAGGCCCATACGAGAAAGGGCAAGCCGTCTGGAGTCGCTCCCAGGGAGAGCTCCAGGCGGCCGCTGAGCTCTCCCCCCGCCTCGTGACAAAGCCTGCGTAGGCGAACCCACTCTGGCGGGATCGCCCGCAAGTGCAGTTAGTCTCGCGATGGGGGGGGAGCGCTCATAGGTAGAGTCAGCAGCGCCTGCGAGCGGGCCCCCTGGCTGCATCGGACCCCGTCGCCGCGCAGACGAAGCGGGGCGCCGCCAGGCCCCCCGCGGCCGCGCGCCGACCCCGTCGCCCGACGCTACAGAGGTATATAACGATTTTGGTGAGGCGCTCAGGACGTCCACTCGAGGATTTCTGTTTCAGGTTTTTTCCAGTGGTCGAGTCGAGGGACTGGTTTTGTTCGCCTCCGATGTGAGTTCAGTTCAGTTCAGGAGGAGGAGGAGGATAAGGAGATGGAAAAGGCCCCCCCCCTGGGACCCCCACCCGAGGAGGACCGGAGGAGGACCGGCGCGGGAGAGGGGAGGGGAGGGGGAGGAGGACCCCCAGTGGACGGATGCGTAGCTGACTCCTTTCCCCCCCCGGGACTCCTCCCCACCTGGGGAGGAGGACCCGAGGAGGACCGGCGCGCCAGAGCAGGACGGGCGCGGGAGAGGAGGACCCCAGAAGCGATGCGAATCTGAATGGGAAGGAGGGGACGAAAGAAGGCTCCCCGCCGACGGGTCCAGAGACACCCCCCACACACCGACAGGGTCAGCGGATTTCTTGGATCGGCGTTGGGCCTCCCTGGCAGCGCCTCCGGCGCCGCCCCTGGCGAGCTCCGCGCGCCACGGACGGGGGGTCCAGCGCCGAGCCAAGAACTCCGTTCGGACGTTCCTGCAGTGTTCTGCTCCCATATGACATATTCTCGTTGCGAACAGAACTCATGAATTATTACTTTTTTACACTTTCGGATTCCAGGGGCCCTCACTGGGCCCGGGGATCGTCAGAACTCGGCTCGGGATGATGCATCGGTCTTGGGGACGGGGTCCAGACCTCTGGGGGGCCACGTCGCGAACAAAAAAACGCAGAGGATTTCCGTCAGGGGTGGACCTAAACAGTGTTTTTGCGATTTCGTGGGCCGTTTTCGTTTCGATTTCGTTTTGCGGTAAAGGCGGATTGAAAATGAATGGGGGAACGAAAACAAAACGAACACCCAAAACATCGTTTAGGTCGAGCCATGATGTCTGGATGCGCCTGTCTTTTGTCGCCCCCCGCCCACCTCGTTGCTGCGGCCGTTTCGGGTGGTGCACAGTGTCCCGGGAGTGGATATGTTGCGTGCACCAGGCAGCAGGGCGAGCGGGATCCGACTCCTCGCAACCGCGGCCCCTGCAGGGGCTCATGCCGATTCCTCCGACTCGGTTCGTTTTGATTTCGATCGGTTCTTACGATTCGTCATCGGAGTCACCTTTGCGCCTCGGTTTCTCAGTGGGGGCCTTGCTGGCCTGCCAATTTTCGCCGATAGGATGTCTCTCGACTTGGCTACCGATTACCGACGATCCGATTCATTTCGATCGCCGATCCGATTCGATTCGGGACTCCTGCCTCACAGGGGCGTGGGGCTGCGAATCCGAATCCTCCCCGTAGCGGCTCCTCGGAGCTACATTTGCGAGCGCGTTCTGCCTGCGCGGTGGTCGAGGTGGCCCCTCCTCGGCTCAAGCGCTCCTCCTTTCCCGTGTCGAGAGAAGCTGCCAACAGCGGTTGCTGCCGACCATCCCCTCTGGCCTCACCAGTCCTAGCATGCCTCCATCCAAGTTCCCCGTCCTGGCAAGTACCCCTTGTATCCATCAGTTGTCCTTGGCCATGTCCAGACCCGCCAGTGTGTTTCCGCATCAGTTGCTTCAATTTAGAAGCTCTTATGTTTGTTGGTTGGTAGTCTTGGCCCTTTGACCCCTGCAGTACCTATCATCACACCCTCCCCTGTAGTCCATGTGGTCTCTTCAGATATTCCACTCAGTGTGTCCAGCGCCTTGGCAGGTGGAGTGGGTGGTGGCTGGGCCTCCGCCGCAGCGCATCGAACTCCTGCTCAAGGGCGAGTGCGACTGCTCGCTGGTGCGTGTGGAGGAACGGAGGGCTCGTCTCTGGAGTGGCCGTGGCCCTTGTGGTATCACTCGTTCTCCATCGCTCTATCTGCCCGGTTGCAGTGCCTTCTCTCAGTCTCTCTATCCGTTCGTTTTCTCCCCTCCTGTCTTCCTCCCTGGACTGGGAGGCTGCGGAGGAGGGAGAAGCGTGCGGTTCCCGTGCACCATATGCTAGATCAACCCATACAGGGCAATGCGTCGCGTTGCGTTTTCAGCACGTGGTGAATGATTTGCCACAGTGGACCCCAACTAGTTGGTAATTGCACTCTCGATGTGCAGCTTGCCTGATACAGTATTCGTACTTTTGGTTCCGCCAATCTATCGAAGACGCCTACGGCGATTCACCGCCGCTCCCTGCCTTTTGGAACCGCCCCTGTGGCCGAACATTGGGGCCAGAGTTTTGCCAAGCTATCCAACCATGTGTTCCCCAAGTCGGTGTGGAAACCCTTCGGGGAACACGCGGGGGAGAAAGAAGAAGCGGAGGAGAGGGAGGACACATAGAGAGGAGGATGAGGAGGAAGAGGAGGAGGAGGAGGCGAATGAGGAAGAGAAGGAGGAGGAGGAGGAGGAAGAGGTGGAGCAGGAGGAGGAGGAAGAAGAGGTGGATGAGGCGGAGGCGGAGGCGGAGGCGGAGGAGGAGGAGGAGGAGGAGGAGGAGGAGGAGGAGGAGGAGGAGGGGGAGGAGGAGGAGGAGGAGGAGGAGGAGCAGGAGGAGGAGGAGGAGGAGGAGGAGGACTGTGGGTCTCTCGGAAGCCTCCTTGTGCTTCTCGGGGGCCTTTGGGGGCTTCTTTGGGGCCTCCTTGGCCGTCTTAGGGTGTTCCTGGCCCGTTTGACGCCGTCGTCAGCCGTCTTGGGGGCCTCTCTGGATCGACTAGGGGCCCTCGTGGGGTAATCCAGGGCCGTCTTGGAGCTCATCTTGGGCGTCTTGGAGGCCTCCTGGTCCGTCTTGGGGCCCTCTTGGAGCTGTCTTGGGGGCCTCTCGGGGCACTCTTGGTTCCTCCTGGGAGCTTCCCAGGAGCCTCTTGGAGGCATCTTGAGGGCTTCCTTGGGCCTCCTGTGGGTGGGGGCTTCTCGGCGGCCTCTTTGCCTGTCCAAGGGCGTTCCTGGCCCGTCTGACGCCGTAGTCAGCCGTCTTGTGGGCCTCTCTGGACCAATTTGGGGCTCTCTTGGGGTGATCCAGGACCGTCTTGGCAAGATGCTTGCAGAACAGCCTAAGAGGCCTCAAAGATGATCCAAGAGGCCTCCAAGACGCCCCAAGAAGCCTCCTAAGTGGGCCCCGTAGCCATTTTGGCTCAAGCCGCGCCGGCCGATGCCGCTGGCTGCACCCCCCCCCCGCGGACTGACCGCTGCCCTGGCCCTGGCCTGGCGCTGAGCTGGGGAGGCTTCTGCTCGGATGGGCTCCCCGCTGGTGGGGCGGCTGAAGACGCAGCTCAGCCGCCTCGCCGGGGACCCAGAGGGGCTGTACGTCACCGCCGAGAATCTCAAGCGCCTCCTCCGGCAGCTGGACCCGAGCTCGGCGATCATCTCGGACGAGGGCCTCAACGTCTTCGTGTCCGTGACCCCTAAGGGGTCAAACGGCCAGATCTCCGTTGACACATTCGTCGACTGGCTCTACGAAGACTCGGACTTCGGCTTGCCAGAAATGCAGGAGAAGAACCCGTCGACGATCGCCGTGTTTTGGAGCAATCACCAGACTCCGACGGTCTCGGGAGCTCGCCGCGCGTGGCTGGCGCGGCTGCTGTCCACGGACCCCGAGGCGATCGACGAGGAAGCCATGAACATCAAGGCTTCCATGCCGCCTTTCAACAACAGCAAGAAGATGGAGCTGCCGAAGTCACTTCTGTCTATCAACGTGCCAGTCTACGGACCAAACATCCCGAACTCGGTGATGAAGATCTTCCAGCCTGCCGATATGAGAGCTCTTGCACAGAGGCTTTCGTGCAGAATACCTTCTTATGTTCTCAACCGCGTAGTCCAGAGCAAGATGCCCAAAGTCGTCGACCTTGTCAATGCCGCGCGCAGCATAGACGACATCGCCCAGAGGAACGGGGCCGCCATAGACAAGCTAGAGAGTTTCGTGAAAGGTCTGCTGGATCTCAAGCCGGCGGATGTTCCAGATCATGGTGCCTGGACAGCCTTCGTGAACAGGTACGCGGGCGACGGATGGGCGCACAAGCTGCACTTTGACCACCTTCTCGACAACTTCGGATTCGACAAGGAGGCATCGGACGTGCTCCGCAAGATAGAGACCAAGAACTCGGACGGTGAAACCGTAACCCTAGAGCATCACGCCTTCCGCTGGCTTAGCAAGGCGTTCGCGGCTTACGGCGTCGAGGGTTGCATGACGGACGTCGTCAATCTGATCTTCGCAATGATGGGTATCATTCCTAAAGATCTGGACGAAGGCAAGATCGCCGAGTATATTGATTATTTCAGAGATGACAAATTGCGGAAGAAGGATTTCTCTGAGCTCTGGGTTCCGAACTATTTTGTGATGGACGCAGAGGTCGATGATTCCCTGACTATGGTTATCTTGTCGTACGTGCATGAAGCGCGTGGTACCACGCTTCAGACGTTTGTCCAGCTGCCCAGCGATGAGTCCATTAACGAGGCCGCGGCGACGCTCGAGAAGCTCAGCGACGTCTACGTCTACCGTGATCCAGAGGCCAGGAATCAGAAGGCCGTGCTGCAGAATTTTGGGATGCATCCCTGAGGCACCATGCCTGCACGGTGTGTTCTGGAACTGCTCCCGTAACTTGCCACAGCGCATGGCCCTTTCCCCCTCCTCACCTCTCCCAGACCTCCTCCTGCTCACGTCTCCCCTCGCTCGTTTCCGAGAGACTTGCTCATCTGCCGCGGTTGCTCGCGGGGCCTGCCTGCGTACGTCTCGCCGTGCTGCGCCCTCGGCCGCTGCCCTCCCTCCGGCGCGTGTGCTCGCGGCCTCGATGCCGTCGGGCTGGAAGTCGCCTGTGGGCTAGTGGCCGGCGTCGCCCCAGCATGCTGATGCCGTGCGTGCGTCGCCCCCGTTGGGGCGACGCGCGCACCGAAAAGTCCTATAGCCCATGCATCGCAGCGGGCGCTTGCTGGCCACACCGCGCGGGAAGCGACATGCTACGATGTGGGCAGATTGGATGGCTCGCGCTGGCAGGACCTGGCCGACTTCGCACGCGAACCTGTGGAGGGGCCCACAAATAGACACCACCACCACCACCTCCCTCAACCCCCTCCCTCTCCCAGGAATGAGGGGTGGAAGGGGGGTGTGGAGAGTGGAGGCATCGGCGTGGTGGTGGTGGTGGTGCATCTTCTGTGGGTCCCCAGGCCTGCGCGCGCGAGGAGGCGCGACGGAACTGCGACTGCCAGGCAGGCGCGGTGCCTCGGGGGCCCGCCCGTGGCGCCCTCTCTGCTCCAGCGTGGCGCGACGGACACCCCCCCCCCAAAAAAAAGAGGCCTCCTAAGTGGGCCCCAAAAAGATGCAGGAATCATTGATGTTCCTATGATTTGAGAAGGTTTTTGGGGTTCTGGCCTTCTTAGCTTCCCGACGCTCCCAGACGGCCCAAGAGGCCTCCAAGATCGCCCCAAGATGCCCCCACACGGCGCCAGTAGGACCCAAGACAGCCTCAAGACGGCCCAAGAGGCCCTCAAGACGGTTTCAGGAAGGGGACCCAGACGGGATACCCGAAGAGACGTTTTGACCATCGGCTCCAAGACGCCCCCAGGCGGCCCCAAGAGGCCCCCGACAGGTCCTAAGCGGACCCCAAGAGTTCCTCATTTATTATTATTATTATTATTATTATTATTATTATTATTATTATTATTATTATCAAACGGCTCGGGGGCCCAAGGCGGCCCAAGAAGGCCCCGAAACGGCCCCAGGGGCACCAAGACGGCCCCAAGAGAGCCCCAAGAGGGCCCAAAGAGGCTCCCAAGAAAACCCCAAGAGACCCCAAGGAACGCTCCAATGCGGCCGAAGAGGGCCCCAGGACGCCCGAAAAGGCCTCCAAGAGGCTTCCCTGTCCAAAGAGGCAAACATAACTTATTGTTCGATTGTTCTTGCTAGTTTTTGGGGTTCTCGCTTATTCGGGCCCAGAAAGGCCCAAGAGTCTCCAAGGATCGCCCCCAGGCGGTCGACGAGGCCCCCAGAATGGCCCGAAAACGGTCCACGAGGGACCCCAGACGGCCCCAGAGGGCCCCAAGGCGGCCCAAGAGAGCCCCAAGACGGCCCCAAGAGTGCCCCAAGAGGGCCCCCGGAGGCTCCCAAGAGGGCCCCCAGAGGCCCCCGAAGGCCCCCAAGAGAGCCCCAAGTCGGCCAAAGGCCTCCAAGACGCCCCAAGACGGCCCAAAAGGGCACGCAAAGGGCCCCACAACGACCCACAAGAAGCCCCAGAGACCCCAAGTAACAAAATGAATCACAATTGCGACAGGTGTCGGAACAAGCTTTGAACACAAAGGCTTCCCAGAGCGCGGTGACGTCAAAACCTCTCAACAGCAAGGCTTCGAAGATCGAGCGGCAACGTAAAAGTCTCTGAACTCCAGGGCCCCCAATCGGACTTGTCTGGAAATCCCAGCGTTATCGCAGTGTGTCGCTGCAAATCGCTCCAAAACCTATGTAGAACTGCATAGATACACTGCCGAAACGAGCCTCCCAAGACGGCGCCTTCAAGAACATATGCAAAACAAAACAATGTGTTGCACAAGATTGCGAGGGACACACGGGAAAACTCTTCGGTTTTCTGCCTCTTTGTCCAGGGCCTCGCAGGCTCCCCGGAGCGAAGGGTGCCATGAGCCATCTCGGGCCAGTTCCTGAAGCGTTTTTTCCATTGTGACGGCCAGCGTCCTGCAAAAAAACAACGCGCCACTCAGCGCCACTCAGCGCCACTCACGCCACTCAGCGCCAGTCAGCGCCACTCAGCGCCATTCAGCGCCATTCAGCGCTTCTCGTCCATTGCCTGGCGCAAAGTGGCGCAGAGTGGCGCTGAGTGGCGCTGACTGGCGCTGACTGGCGCTGACTGGCGCTGAGTGGCGCAGAATGGTGCGGCGACGCACTGGTGGCGCGAACCGGCGCTGAGTGGCGCTGGGTGGCGCTGAGTAGCGCTGAGAGGAGGAGGGGTGCGAGGAGGAGCACGAGGCTGAGGAAGAGGAGGAGGAAGAGGAGGATGAGGGACATGAGGAGGGGCAGGAGGAGGGGGATGGAGGAGGAGGAGGAGGAAGAGGGACAGGAGGAGGTGGAGGAGGAGGAGGCGGAGGATCTGGAGGAATCCAATTGGAGCCATGGGGCCCTCTCTTCGAGGCATATTGGAGGCCATTTGGGGGCCATCTGAGGATGCATTATGCCGTATCGGTTGGGCTATCCAGAACCCCCTCGGGGTCATCTTGTAGCCTCTCGGGGGCCTCTTGAGCCCATCTTGTGGGCTTCGGGATGCCCGATCCAAGAGGAGGACATCGATCAAAGAAAGGGTCACCATCGTGGCGCCATCGCATCCATTACCTTCGTCATCCTTGCCGCCTGCTCCCTCGTCACCCTCGTCAGCCCTAGCCCATATTGCGCTCATATGTTTGGCAATCGCGATGGCTTGCGCCATCTGCCTCCGCGGCCTCGAGCCAGGCAACTCGTGGCCCTTGCTGTGCGGGCATGCATACCACAAGGATATGCCTACGCAAGGCTTTTGGGTAGCCCCAGAGTAGCCTTAGAGGCAAGCCCTCGGGGTAGCCCTTGGGGTAGCCTTACAGGTTGCCCCAGGGGTAGATCTTAGCCCTAGGGGTAGGCCCGACGGGGTGGCCCTTGGATGCCCTTAGGGGTCGGCCTTAGGGATCTGTTTCGGATAGCCCCACTGGTAGGCCCCAGGGGTAGGCCAAGGGTAGCCCTGGGGGTTGGCTTTGGGTGTAGGCCCACGGTAACCCTAGGGGTAGGCCGTAGGGGAAGAAGGCCCAGGGTGGCTTTAGGGGTGGGCCCTACGGGTAGGCCTAGGGCAGCCCTAGGGGTTAGGCTCTCGGGGTAGGCCCAGGGTTGACCTTCCTTGGGCGATTTATCAGGCCGACCTTGGGGGGCTGCTCGACTTGATGGCGGCCAGCCGCTCCAGCGCGGGGCTGCCGCCGCAGGCGGTGGCGCCTGCAAACCATTCCATGGACGTCTACGAGAGACACCGGAAGCTGCTGCGGTCGCTGTATCAGAATAGATTTCCACCTTTGCGCCTCCAGGTGCATGCCGACACACCCAAAGGGGCAGGCTCGGGCGTGCTCTCTGGCGGCTGCGCACGGTCCAGGCGTGGTCGTCACCGGCGAGCCTATGCATTGCCTAGGGGCGTGTTGGCCCGAATCGCGCGCCTCTGCGATGCCCAGCTGGACAGCTCCGCGTCGTACTGCAATTACCGCACAGAGAAGGCGTTCGAGGCCGAGTTGCGGCGCGTGCAGCGCTGGTACCGGCCGGGGCGCCGGCAGCGGCGGTGGCGCACCGGCATCGTGCGCGACCGGCGGCAGGCCGTCACCGTCAAGGGCGCGCGGTGCGTGATCACGCAGAAGGTGCGCGACCATTTCCGCAGGATGCGTCGCCGAGTTAAGGTGGAGGGCTTGACGAATTGGCGGGATGTTGCGCTCGCCGCGCGGCAGGCTGGCATTCCCGTCCAGTCTGGCACCGTCCCAGCGGAGCGCCTGTGGTCCTGCCTCGAGGGCATGATGCCTTCAGCCGCGCGGGGCGTATCGCTCCGCTGGTTTCGGGTCCTCAGCATGGTGATGTTCCTCCGCTACAACTACACGCACTTCAATAAGGACAACTTGCCGACGATGGCGGAGCGGGACCCTCTGCTCGGCCAGCTCCTGGCGACGATCGCCATGCTCGCGCGGGCTGTTAACGAGTCCGACCAGGGCTTGTCGCACCTAGCGCCTCTTTTTGACCCGTTCGGTTCGCGCTGACGCGCCGCGCGGGGCGCGACCTGCTATTTGTTCCTTCCCTTTGAATTTTGTTCGTGCCCGTGGGCCTGACCGCGCGCTGCAAAGTTCGCGCGAGTTGCCTCCGCCGCGGCCGCGGCCGCGCCATTTTGTAGCATTTCGGCCCCCGGTGCCCCTGGCCCCCACACGCGTGGCCAATATTTGCCTTTACCAGAATGCGCGATGGCAGTTTGGCTCGTTCTGTCCGCGGCTCCGGTCGCGAGATTTGATGTTTCCTCTGCTTGCTTCTGCGCGGACGGTGCGCATCGCCTCCGCCGCGGCTTCGGCCGCGCGCGGTCGTTTTCTCCGATTGTCCCCGCTTGCGCGGTTCATTCCACGCATATCGCTCCCTCTCCCTCTCTCTCTCTCTCTCTCTCTCTCTTTTTTCTCTTTCTCTCTCTTTCTCTCTCTCTCTCTCTCTCTCTCCCCCCTCTCTCTCGGTCCGCGTCGCTACCGCCCGAGAACCAGTGGCGCCCGCAGGCAGGCGAAAACTCTTCTTTTTCCGACCTTCCTTTTCTTCCTGCTCCTCCTGTTTTTCTCATTCTGCTGCTGCGTTTGTTGGCTTTGTGAGGCGAATTCCCGTGGGATCTGTTGTTCCCTGTAAAAAAACAATTGTTTTCAACATTCTTTTTGTCTTGGCGTCGCGCCGCCCCTCTCTTCGCAGTGTCGCTCGCAGCTGTGATATGTTTGCATTTGCGCGAAAACTATGGTCTTCGTATGGGCTTTGTGTAGGAGCTGGCAGATCCCACGGGGAACCCTTCGATTTTTTGGGAAGCGTTTCTGCCCCGGTCCTGCGGGGGGCCGTTGCGCCAGTGGTTCCGCCAGATCCCACCCCCGCGCTCGCGAGGTTCCAGTGGCCTCCTGCGTCCTGATTTGCTTCCTGTGTTCCGATGCTCCTCGTAAGCCCTCCAGTCGTCCTCTGCGTCTTCCTCTAGTTAAGCGTCCCTTCGCCGCAGCTCGCTTGTTCCCGAGGTGACGATTTCCGCTCTGGCAATCATCCGATGGCGTGCTTTGGCAACTTTCCGATGGCTTATCGAAGAGCAGACAATATATGCACGGTATCGAGTCTAGATTGGACACCCCTGCTCCCCCACTGCTTGCGATTGAAGATGGCCCTGCTGTTAGTGTGCACCACCCCCAGCCCGAGGATATCGAAGGATCGGATGGGGGGGAGGAGAGGGAGGGAGGGCCGGGGGCGACGGGGCAGGGAAGGGCGGGGCAGGGCCCTCCTACTCGTCGTCGTCGCCGTCCTCCTCCTCTCCCTCCTCGCCCTCCTCCTTTTCGTCTTCGTCCTCGTCCTCCTCCCCACCCTCCCCATCATCTTCTTCCTGCAGCCGCTGAGTGGCGCCGGGTGGCGTTGAGTGGTGCCGAGTGGCGCTGACTGGCGCCGAGTGGCGCTGAGTGGCGCCGAGTGGCGTTGAGTGGCGCCGAGTGGCGTTGAGTGGCGTCGAGTAGCGCCGGTCGAAGTTGAGTTGCTCCCTGGAGTAGCGCAGAGTGGCGTTGAGTGGCGCTGAGTGGCGTAGAGTGGCGCCGAGTGGCGCTGAGTTGCGCTGAGTGGCGCGTTGGTTTTTTGACCCCGCGGGGCCGTCACGCTGGTTTTTTCCGTGCTAGTCAAACGGCCTTCGGCCCATCCGCCACCGTGCTTGGATTGTGGGTCTGGGGCGTCTTAGATGCCCGTTGGGATAACAGAAAGAGCGAGGTATGAGTGATGACGTTCCTGTGTGGGGCGAAGCCTTCTAGGAAGGGGTTCCAAGGGAGGGGCGAGGCCCAGAAGCATGGGCGTGATGGCCGCCCGGGGGCCGTTTCCATAGTTTTTTTTCGAGTGAAGCGGCCCCCGGGCGGCTCCCACGGCCAGTTTCTTTGTATTTTCAAGTGAAGCAACTCAAGGGCCCCAAAACGTCCCCAGAGGGCCCCAAAATGGTTCAGGAGGGCACCAAGACGACCCCAGGAGAGCCTCAGATGGTTTCCAGACGGCACAGGCGAGCCTCAAGACGGCTCCAGAGGCCCTCCAGAGTGCCCTCGAGCTGGCCTCAGAAGGCCAAGAACATGTATTTCCTTATGGCCTGTGAAGGTGTTTCGGGTTTTGTCGCTTCTTCGGGCCCAGAGGGGCCCAAGACAGCCCGCGAGGCCCCAGAGGTCGTCCCAGGACGGCCCCAAAGGCCAGAGCCCCCCCAAAGGGGCCGAAGACTGTTCCAGAGGGCCCCCAGACGACCAAAAGAGGGCACCAAAAAACGGCTTCAGGTGGGCCCCAATGCGGCCCCGAAGACGGCCCCAAGAGGCTCCCGAGAGGGCCCGAAGAGGCGGTGGGGGCGTTGGGCTGCTTGGGTGTGGTGACTGAGCTGGCCCCAAGACGGCCTAAGAGTCCCAAAACGGCGTGACGCAACAGGCTCTGAACACCAAGGCTCCCCCGTAGCGCGGTGACGCAAAGAGCTCTTGACAGCAATGCGCCCAAGAGCGAGCGGCAACGCAAAAATCTGTGAACACTAGGGCTCCCAGCAAAGAGCGGTGACGCAACAAGCACTGAACGCCAGGGCTCCCAAGAGCGAAAGGTGCCATGAGCCATCTTGTGCAAGTTCTTGCAACATTCTTTCCGTTCCCGTGCTGGTTCAGGTTTCGTCGACCTCTCGGGGCCTTTTGGAGGCCTCTTGGGTGCTGTTCTGGGGCCTCTTCGGGCCTGACATCTTCGCGTCGGGAAACAAAAAGGCACGACGGAAGGTTTTCACTTCTATGAGGCATCCAGGGGCCCTCGCAGGCCCCCAGAAACGATTCAGGATGCAAAGCTCGTCCCAGGGAAGGGGTCCAGACCAATGTGGAGGCATCTGAAAAAATCACGACGTCGGATGCCTGGGACAGTTGGCAGTGTCCACAGATGCGATGGCAATGCTGCGAATCTGCGCAGCACCACACTCCGCTGTGCCTCCGAGGAGCTCACGAACATGGCGGCGCTAAGTGCAGTTGGCAGCGCCCAGGGAGGCGAGTGCAACAGATGCGTCTCTGCGTAGCATCGCCCTTTGCTGCACCTCCCAGGAGCTCGCCAGAAGTGGCGCGGGCTGCGCCAATGGCAGCGCCCGCAAATTCGAGTGCCACAGTTTCTGGGCGTGCGTGGCACCTCGCCCCGTAGGGCCTGTGAGGATCTCACGGGCGTCGCGACACGCAGTGCAGTTGGCAGCCGCTGGGGAGGCGACGCCCCGCTTGGGTCTGCGTCGAACCGCACTCCACAGTCGGGACGATCGAAATGGGTACGGAAAGAATGGGTACAAAGACGGACAGCATTTTTGGTTCAAGTTGATTAGCGCTCGTTGTCGGTGTCGCTGCGGACGGTGTCCATTTGAGACAGAAGGCCGCCTGTCCAACAGCGGCCGCTGTCAGTCTTGGACAACGTTTGTTGTTTGGCATCGTGCCCCAATGTTTCCATACCCCATGTCGGGCGTCCAAACACAGGGATCCCGAGGAGCTCACAGGAGTGGCGACGAGGCCGCCGTTGGCAGCGCCGAGGCCCCGTTGCGATTTGCGCATGCCCCCGTTCCGCTGGGAGTCCCGAGGAGTCCACGAGAGAGTGGCGAAAGCTGCGCAACCGCTGGAGCTCAGGGAGGCGCAGTTCCGCCTGTGCCTACGCAGCCGCACTCCGCTGGAACTCGAGGGAGCCTGCCAAGAAGAAACGACGGTTCCGCAGATGGCATCGTATTGCCAGGGCCGCCCACGATTCGATGCGACTCGATTCGCGGGTTGGACCCGCGATTCGGATTCGATTCGGCTCGGCTCGATTCATTGGCATCGGCCAGGGCCAGCTGGAGCCCGGCGCTACGATCTGATTTCGATTCGATGCGGGATGATTCGTTGGCGATCCGATCCGATTCCGGTTCGATCCGATTTTGCGACCCGATCCAGCTCCAGCTTGCCTGGGAGGCGCTGTACCGCCATGATCTGCGCAGCACCGCACTCTGCGGGACGTCCCAGGAGCTCAGGAAAGCGACGACGTCTGCGCAGATGGCAGCAACAAAGGAGGGCGCCGGCAGTGGCCTCGTCCTGCGGGGCACCTCACACCGCTGGGCCTTTCTCAAGAGCTGACGCTACAGAGAGCCCCAACAGGGTGCCCAAGAGGCCCCCAAGCGGTAAACAACTTTGATGCTCCTTTGCTTCTTGTTTGAGAGATTGTATACCATGCTCGCTCCCGAGAGCGCAGTGCGGCGCAAACGTCCCCCATACGCACCCCATGATGGCACAAAAGGCCCACAAGGATGAGACTGCAGCTCCTGCGAGGTTGAATTCAGCGTCGGCGCTGATAGATCCGTGGTCGAAGACCGCCGCAGTCCGGCATAATCCCAAGCAGTCCCGCTTAATATGGCTTGATCCTGGACCTAATCTGGCCTAATTTGGCGAAATGGTGCCGCAATCGGGCTGAAAAGCCCTTCATCGTTCTTGCGAAGACCTCCCAGGAGCTGTTTCCTAACAGGGGGGCTGTAGAGGACCCCAAGCGGCGGAGGCGGGGCCTGAAGAGCAAAGAAGCCTGAGCGCAGATCCAAGAAATCCGCGCTGAGCGCCAAAAGTTTATGTGTATAGCGCTTTGTCTCCTTCTACTCCAGCATCTTTAGCAAGTTGCCGATCAATCTGCTGCACAGGAGGCCGTGGTCTTGTCCAGGGAGCATCCGGACCTGCTCTGCAGGCTGCTCGGCTTCGAGGAGATCCTGCCACTGGCGCCCACGCAGCCTCACGGGGTCGTCGGGCGGGGTTACCTTGAGATTCTGGTGATGGGCAGATTCTTCACCACCACTACTATAGCTAGGAAGGGGAGGAGGACGAGGAGGGGGTGGGGGACGAGGAGGACCTCCCCCTCCTCCCTCCTCCCCCGTCCTACCTGTGGTAGTTGTGGTGAAAAATTGGCCCATCACCTGGTGGCGCAATGTTTTCACAGCTGGCGATTTTGCTTTGTTTCGATCCCCAGGACCCTCACCAGATCGATTTGGCTCGTAAAGTGTAGCAGAAAGCTGGGGTCCAGGGCTTCGTTTTTTCCCAAGCATCCTGTGTTGGGCCCTCGTTTCGAAGAGACAGCGCTCCTCGTTCTCCTCCTCTCCTCCTCCTCCTCCTCCTCCTCCTCCCCCTCCTCCCTCCTCCCATGCGTGCCTCTGCCCTCCGCATGTCCATTTCGGCACTCTGCCCTCCTCATGTCCATATCGGCACACCCCTGACACGGTTCGTGACCCCACAGAGAGGTCGACCCAGGTCCCCAGTGGCCGCGTTCACATGCGTCATTCTGCCCACCGCATGCCCATTTCGGCACACCACTCACACGGTTCGTGGCCCCAGAGGGAGCTCCACCCAAGGCCTCTCGCATTGGTGCTAAGGCCCCCCGAACCTCTGTTGCAAGACTTCTCCTCCTCCTCCTCCTTCTCCCTCTGGGGGCGGCGGGGGAGCACGGAGGATTAACAGTGTGTGCGTGCGTGCGTGCATGTGTGTGTGTGCGTGGATGTGTGTGTGTGTCTATGTATGTATATATATGGATCGGAGGCGGGGGAGGCTCGTATCCTCGGGATGGAGGCCGTTACGCTGTTCTCCCACCATCCCCTCCAATGGGGTGGCGGCCGTTACGTTGTCTTTGTCCTCGTCGTCGTTCGCCGTATCCTTCTCCTCCCCCTTCTCTTCGCTTCGCTTCGCTCGCAGCTTCGCTTCGCTTCGCTCCCCCTTCTCTTCGCTTCGCGGCCGCGCGCGCGCGCCCGAGGCGCGCGGAGGGGGCCACCCCCCCGACACGGGCCCCCGCCAGGAGGGCAAGGAGTAGAAGCCGCCCAGGCCTCGCCTCCTCCTCCAACCCGTCTCCGCAGTTGTTCAACATGAGTACTATTTTCAAATTTCCCATGACACTCGGGTGTCGGCAAAAACATGCCTGTGGTGTTGGATCCTCGTTTGAAGAGAAAGCGAGCCCTAACCCGGATCGTGGCCTCATAGGGAGGCCAGTCGAAATTTTGACCCAGAACGCGGAATCCCCAACTGCTTATGGTTGTGTCCCCTTCGTCAGGATGATTGTTGTTGATGTGTTTTTGTTCGTGACGTCGGATCTGAACGCTCTCAGAGCGTTCTGGAGCGCTCCAGGACTGCCGCAGCGCCCGATGCATCCTCCAGAGCCGCTGGATCTCAGAGACATCCCTGATGTGTCCTTGTCATTTGTGTTGTCTTGTGTCTGGCTTCGTTTTATAGGTCATCTCCGTGACCGACGAGTTCTTGAAGACTCAGCCAGAGGCGTGCGCGGCACTGGTGCGGGGCCTCGTGAGGGCGTCGCGGAGCCTTCACGACGACGTGTGCAACTTCAGGTCGGGCGGCCACGTCGTCGATCGACGACTACGCCGACGACGACGCAGATATGTTTGCTCCGTGCAAAACTACGACGGGCACTTTGGCAGTTTGTTGCCCTTTTTTCAGTGTCTCGCCGGGCCCCCCGACCATCAAAAATAGTTTGGGGGTGAAGAACCGGTCCTGGGAGGAGGGTCCAGATTGAAAAATTCGAGATATCGCATGTCTGGGGACCGATGTCGATCGACGACCATAAACGACAACCGACAACGGCCCCCCAGGTAATCTTAAGTCGGGCCTGTTTCTCTACATGCGGAATATTGAAAAATTGTCAAACAATGGTCTGGGGATTATTTTTGGATTATTTTCAAGCGCTCGGGGATTTTTTGTTGTATTTTTAACATTTTGGCTCAAGGCTTTGGCTCAAGTCCGAGGGTGTGCGCAAGGGCCGTGCGCAATTCTTTCTAAACAGAACTTTTTGTCGCAGTTCTGAGTTCCACCGCCTGGCCCGCTGCTCGGCAAGCAGTGCTGGCTGGCCCGCTGCTGGTGAGCAGTGCTGGCATTTGTGGGATAACTGTATCACTATATTTCAACATGTTCCGCGATGTCGGGACACGCATCTTCGGCCTCAGCGCAGCCAGGGAAACGTCCAGAAGAATTCGCACCCACCTTTAAGAAAAGTGCGTTGAAGCAGGAGCGAGTGGGAGACAGCCCACAGCGCCCTATGCTGCAGAGCCCCACTGATGTGGAGCTGCGGCAGGAGAAATTTGAAGATAATTTGATTCGTGCCTTGCCCCGGTCGCAGAGTCAGTTCAACGCTTGAGCCAGGATTTGCGACATTTCCGGCAAAAAGTGGACACTCGTATGGCAAATATCCGGGACGAGATGACGCAGCTCCGGGAGGACGTGGACATCTTGCTCAATGACTTCTCGACGTTGGACCGGCAGGTTGAAGACGACATCCTGCCGCGCATCCCCGACATCGAGAAAAGGCATCGCCGAGATTTAGCACGGGCCTGCCTGCTACAGACATCGCATCAACGACATTGTTGCAGTTTTGCCGTTGGTTTTTTTTTTTTGGCTGGCGTATGCCCCCGTCCCGATTGTCGCGAGGTCCCCGCAACATTGATGCGCGTCCACGGCCCGCTGGTCGCTGCGATTGCCGCATTTTTGCCGTTTCGTTGTTTCCCCGATATCATGCAGAATTGCATTTTTCCGGTTCCGCGCCGCGTGGCTTGTCGCAGCCGTTGGCGCATCGTTTGTTGCAGCCGTTCTGCGGGTCCACAAAACTGCTTCATAGGGAGGGGCGCTTGTGAGCAAACTATTGTTGTTTTGCTTCCAGCGCGCATCAAAACATTGGTGATTTTTTTTGCCGCTTCCTTGCAGCCGCCATTGGCTCAACAGGTCGCTCCGATCACTCCCGCGCGCCCGCGTGCGACCGTCACGCAACGCAATACTTTAGCACGCTGTCTCGCCACGCCGAGAAGCGACCCCGTGCGGCAACAACCCAAACCATCCAGTGACGAATATGCAACGATCAGGTTGGCCTCATGCCTATAGCAGGCATGCCCCGGGCAAGCTGCAATAGTGCTGCCAAAGCGGCGGATATGCGCCGCTGCGCAATTGGAAAATAATGCGAGTGCAACTGGAGGGGGTGGTTGGGAGGAGTTCGACTTCAGGTATGGAAAAGGCGGACGTAGCTTGCCCCTTCCAGTCTCCCCCGTGTAGGACGCAGGCCAATGGTAGAGCAGGCGGGGCTTACAGGGGCATCATGAGCAAGATGGGGGGAGCAGGCGGAGCAGGAGGGAGCGGAAGAGGTGGCGGCGGTGGAGGTGGCGGCGGATGGGGGGATGATAGCGAGGGTGACGCTGACGTTGATGACGACGAAAATAATGGAAATGATGAAGGTTATGGCGAGGAGAGGGGCGACGGGGGGAGGACGACATCGAATAGGCGGAGGCGGGGGGGGATGGGGGGGAAAGGAGGCGGAAGAGGATGAGGATAGGGGTAACAGGACGAGTAGGAGGAGAAAAGGGGAACGAACGGAAAATGAAGGGGAGGGGAAGACGAGAAGGAGGAGCAGCAGCAGGAGCAGCAGGAAGAGGACGACTAGCAGGAGGATCAGGAAGAGGAGGAGAGGGATGAAGAGGAGGAGGACCACGAGCAGGAGGAGGAGGGGAGGAGGAGGAGGAAGAGGAGGAGGAGGGAGAGAAGGATCAGTCGGAACGTCAGGGGGAAGAGGAGGAGGATGAGGGAGAGGGACCGGAGGGAGGGGAAGGGTAGGATGACGGGAGGGGGGATGTGGAGGAGGAGGAGGAGGAGGACACGCGAGAAAAAGAGGAGGAGAGGATAATGATGACGACGAACATGAGGTGGGGAAGGAGGAGGATGAGGAAAAGGGAGGAAGGAGGCGAATAGGAGAGAGGAAGGATCAGGGAGGAGGGAAAAGGAATAGGTGGAGGAGGAGGGGGAGGGCGCGTGGAGGAGAAAGAGGGGGGGGGGAGGTGGAGGAGGAGGAGAAGATGCGAGGAGAAGGAGGAGGAGGAGGAAAAGGAGGGGGAGGAGGAAAGGGAGGACGAGGAGGATGGGGGGGCGATGGGTAAGGGGCGCGGGGGGGCGGGGCGGCAAGCGGGGGGGCCCAGTGCAACGCGCGGTCGTTTGGGGGTTGTCATTTTTGTTGCCGCGCACCTTGGACATGTTCGAATGTTGTATGGAACGGCAACGAAACATCAATATGTTGCAAACCATTTTTCGTTTCTGTGTTGTGCGGGGCGTTCTTCGCCCACGTTGGGGCGGCGGTTTGACGCGACGCGTTGCCCAACACAGTCTTGTTTGTTGTTGGTCCCCGTTGTTGCTTCGCTTTTGCGTCCGATGGTGTTGCCCCCGCCCCTTGCCCAAACCGCTACTGTTTGCTGAAAGTTCCCTTGTTGTTTGTGCTGTTACTGCCCCCTGTAGTTTGGCAAAGCATTGTTGTTTTGTTTCGCTTGCTTGTTTATTTGGTTGTTGAGTTCCCTGTCGATGGGCAGAACATTGTTGCTGCTGTGCTGTTTGGTTGTTTTTCCCATCCCCCGACAATTTGTCAAATCATTGGTGTTGCTTTGCTGCTTGTGTTTTTATGGTTGTACCCCCAGCAGTTTGACAAAACACAATTGTGTTGGTGCTGCTTGCTTGCTTTTGTTGGTTGCTCGCTTCCGCGATCGCAATGCCCACTGGCAGCATTCCATCACTGTCAGCTCATTTTCCACGAACGGGGTGCAGGAGCGGGAGGATAATCAGGAGAGGAAGGATGAGGACGAAGAGTAATTAGAATGAGGAGGGGGGCGAGGACGAGCGGGAGGAGGAAGAGGTAGGAGGAGGAGGAGGAGGAGGAGGAGGAGGAGGAGGAGGACGGCGAGGATTAGAACGAGCACGGGGAGGGGGGAGGACGAGGAAGATGAGGAGTAGGAGGTGAGAAGAGGAGGAGGAGGAGGAGCAGGAGGAGGAGGGGGAGAGGATCAGGAGGAGGAGAAGGAGGAGGACATTAAGACCAGCGAAGAGAAGAACGAGGGGGATGATGAGGAGGAGGAGGACGAGGAAGAGCAGGAGAGAATGATGATGATGAGGAGGAGGAGAAGGCAACTCGTGTGGAATAGTGGTCTCTACATGGGAGTGACCCCAGGACCAGTATCCAGCATTCCTCTGCTGACCCCCGGCGGGTGCCAGGCCATGATGTTGGCGCCGGGCAAGCCGGCTGTTATTAATCGACCCGCATGGATCGTCGCGAAACATGTTTTGTACAAGAAGGCTGGAACCATTGGAACCAGAGACCTCAAGTGCATCTCGGGGACCTGAAAAAACACCTTGGGCCAACTGAGCCTCGGAACCACGTTGGAATCGGCTAGAACCAGTTGGAACCAGCGGTGCAGCAACCCCACGGATTGACGTAACAGTGCGTTGAACAGTAATATTGATGTAACGTGAACAGTTGTAGTAACAGCAGCGACAAACATGAACGTCACGTGCCAATGCATCGACAACGCGCGCACCAACGCCTCATTCAACAGTATACAGCATACAACCGGGCAAACAACACATACAAAAAACGCACGCGCCATACACTTTAGCAAAACATTGTTGTTTTGTTGTTGCTGTCCGTTTCGAAAAATCACCCATGTTTTGCCGCATTCTCGGAACCATCTGCAACAAGCGCTGCAACAACCTTGCGACGAGCAGTTTCGAGGGAATCCCGCGGCCGGCGAAGTCGCCGGCCGGCGCTGCAGGAAGCGCCGCGGCAAACAAACGGCAATGAAACGCTGCGGCGTGCACTAAGCGCGCGGCAAGCGCCGCGACAACCGGCGCACCAAACAACATCTGAGCAGACGAGGGGGGCGCAGCAAAAAAAACACCAATAATACATCAAAGAAACCAGACGCCGGAACAAGCATGGCGGCAAAACCGACACCAATGTTGTACCAATGTTTTGGTTTCCTGCCTGTAGCAGGCAGGCCCGTCGTAAGCCGAGATGAAGATGTATGCGCGCACGCCGCGCTCCGCCACGTCAGCCGCGCCATCGTCGACGCATGGGCAGAATGGTAACACGACTCTTGTTCTTTTTGGATTGCCGCATGACGCCGTAACGGGGGCAGAACAAAAGGTAGCTAAAGTGTTTCAGGAAAGTCACTGCGAGCTTCCAGTCAGAAACTATTAAAAAGGGCCCCCAAGATGAACAGTTCAAGGGCATGTTGTTCTCGGAGCTTCAATCCTTGAAAGCATCTCAGGACGCCCTCCCTGTCCTCCAAGAGGCGCGCGGCAAGCAAAACCCTCGGGAAGGCAACAGCCGGGCACGGTGCAGCACGGATGCCCCCATCGAGCAACGTGCCATTTCGTCATTGCTTGGCGGTCTCCGCCACCTGCTCACGCAGTGGGGCTTCGACAAAAAGTTCTTGAAGGTCGACGACGGCGCCGGGGCAATTAAAGCTGGGGGCAAAGGAATAGTTTCAAGTACAAGCTTTTGAAAAGAAGCTTCAATAGGAATGGTTTGATATTTCGTGGGAGACGCGGGAGGAGTTTCAAAATTGACCAGAACGGAAAAAACTACAGCATAATATCACCGACCGGCTGGACAAGAGCGCGACCAGTCTGTCCAAAGGACGGGCGTAGGAAAGCTTGCGAATTGGCGCTGCCCGGGACGCGCAGGAACAGGTCCACCCTCAAGGAGCAACAGCTTCCATAAGGACAACAATCCAGAGCTCAATATTGCAATGTGGAAGCTCAAAGTCTGACAGAGGAGAAACGCGTTGAAATTACGGCGCGCATGAAGAGCCATGATATCCATGCGCCCTGCCCGCAGGAAACGCGAGCAGAACAATCCGACGCTTATAACTTCAACGGCTATGCCGCGGCAGTATTAGGCGCAGTTGGCGATGGGCAAACACGCGCCGGAGTGGGGTTCGTTGCATCGGAGCGAAATGGGCACGAGTCCGCTCGTGCAACCAGATCTCAGACAGACCCGCTTGGATAAATATTAACGCGAAGAGTGGCATTTCTGGCGTTCTCCGCGCGCGCGCCCCCAAACATCCGAAGCCCACTCTGGGGGGGCTTGCACTTTAGCACGGCCTCGATTTCGAAAGCAGGGCGCGCCCCGCAAATGCGGGGGAAGTCATCTTCAGGGGCGCCAGTGCGCGAATGGGTTGCGCATGCAACAGAGAAGAGCGCGCCCTTGTGAATTTCGGTCGGGGGCGGAAGGCTGCGCGGCCAGTGGGCGCTCCGAACCGCGATCTCCTCATCGAGTTTCGTGGCGGGTTTGATTCGGCGGTCGCCCGCTCGATCTTCGGCGCGCCGCTGGGGGGGCAAGCGGCGCCCGCGGAGGCCGGCGCTGCGCGCGACGGGGCCATGGCAGAAGGGCAGCGCGCTATCTTGGATGTGCTTATGTTCGATGCCCAAACGTTTGCTCAGATGCGGGTTCTGACGGTTCTGCGAAGCCAGAGGGACATACCTCTTGCGACAGATCTCGCTCTCGCCGCGCGTTCGCCGGCGCTCGGCGCGGAGGAGGCCCGGCGACGACCGCGCCCGGCGCTGCCCGGGAGGCGTTCGGGGCCAAGCGCCGCGAGTGCAATGCGCTGAGACATCCATGCGCGCATTGGGATCTTTCCCGGCAGCCCAGAATCCATGGAGACTCGCGGGTGAAAGGCGCGCGAGCAGGCAGCCCGAGTTGCGACGGCCGCGATTCCATCGGCCCCCGTGGATAAGTCAACGCACGCGGAGCTGGACAGGACAACGGACTGGCGGACAACAAGCAGGAGGAGAGACCTTTTTTAGAAGAAGTACGGACGTCGCGCAAAATAGACAAGACAGTTTGGACCGAAGAGCACATTGCACATGGAAGTTGTCATGCTATCCGGGCCTTCTGCCTGGGGCGCCAACGCACGCGAGGGAGATAAACGTGGCCGGGAATTTGGCGGGGGGGCAACGAACGAGCGGGCACTGGCAGAATTCTTGCGAGAAGCGCAATGGAAAGCACGGCCTGCGGAGATAACATCACAACAGCTTGGGCCCCGACGCTGCCAGTGAACGACGAAGAGTTCTCTGTTCAGGAAGTTGGAGAATGTGCGCAGGCGCTGAAATGGGGCGAGGCAGGCGGGCGGGGCGGTGTCCCGGCGAAGCAGTGGAAAGCAGCGGCCCAAACGCCTGGGGGGCCACAGTGGCTCACACAATTATGCAGCGCATGCTGGCCAGCAGAGTCGGCTCCGCAAGCCGCATTCTTGGTGAGTGCGATTCGCCAAAATTGCATGTAAGAAAACCCCAATCAGTGGATGAGTTGAACAATTGATACTACGGATATTCAGATCGATACTGAGATCGGTAGTGGAACCGTTAGTGAGGGCGATTGTAAGGTCGATCGTGAGACCGAGAGTGAAATCGGTTCAATGAGATCGAATGCGAGGTCGATCGCGAGATCGGTCGCGCGATCTCTAGTGGGATCGCTTGCGGGATTGATAGTGAGATCGATTGTGAGATCGATGGTGGATCGATCGAGAAGTCGGCAACGAGAACGATGGTGAGACCGTTCGACAAGAAGATCGACCGGGGACCCGGGGACCTCGCCGCCCTCCGAAATCGGCCCGGAACCCGGAATCGAGAACCCGGGAACCTTGGAACCGAGACTGCCACCCAAATCGGCGGGGAATTGTCGCCAAATCTTCCAGCATCCGCTAGGGCCCATTCAGTGCAGGCGCTGATTGGGGAACAACGGGCCAGTTCACCGCTGCGACAACTACAGACCGATCAGCTTTTTGTGCGCAGCGTGCAAAGCGGTGGCAAGTTTGTTATTGCGGCGACTTCAGATTGCTCGGGCAGAAGACCGGCCTGCTGCCGCTCAATTCGGCTTCTGCCGAGGACGGGGCACGACAGACGCCATCCACGTGGCCCGCATGCGCATCGAATTAGCAAACGCCGGGGGAACTTCAGGGGCCATTTTCGTTGCGCTAGACTGGAAGAAAAGAATGCGATCCGATTAGTGCGGGAACTATGTTTGTATAGTTGCAGAGGCTTGGGCCCCCCCCCTTGGCTTCCCGCAGTAATCGAAAGCGCGTATGCCAACAGGGGCTTCCGCGTGGCCGACGGGGGTCAGAGGTCGCGTGAGAGGCGGCAGAGGCTGGCATCGCGCAAGGGTGCCCCTTGCCCCCGTTCTTATGTGCAACGGCAACGACAGTGCTAATACAGGACGCAACCGCGACGTTGAGCGACCCGGGCAAGACAGCGTTAGACCTTGGACATGTATCGGTATTGCTGCATGCGGACGACGCTCTTCTCTGTGAAAAACGCTAAGAGCACGTGCATGAACTGCTGAACGCAATCGCCGCACTTCCGTAGGAAAAGGCGGGCGCGGAATTACATGTGGGGCAAGTTCCAAGTGTTACATTGCAGAACGACATGGAGTGATGCTCGCCTTCTGGGGCGTTCATACAGCCAAAAGATCGCCTTGTCTACCTGGGAGATACAAGTAGCAGCGCGGGCGGGATATCTGGGGAACTCAATCGAAGATTGTGGCCGGCGTGGGGTGAGTTCTCCAAGCATTGTAAGATTTGGAGGCACACTTCGATCGGTGCCAAGGCACAGCTGCTCATCTTCGACGCGATGATTATTCGTAAGGTCATGCGAATCCTCATGTCCGCGTGGCTTACCAGGGCCGACAGGAAGCGGTTGGACGGATCCCAGGCCAAATGTATCCGACCGATCTTGCACATATTTCCGGCATTCATCTCCAGAGTCTCCAACAGATGCGTTTTGGAAAAAAAGCGAGCAAATTGCGTGCAGTTCCCAGTTGTTGAAACAACAGCTATTACTATTTTGAAAAATTGGTCGGTATCCCAACGATCGTGTTTCGCGGAAGCCAGCGTTCCGGCTGGGCACCGTCTTCCTTGCGACGCGGGCTTGCGAGTGCAAGCGGGGGCGGCCCAAACAGGAGCGGGCAGCCGAACTGCGTAAACTTGCGAGACCCCCCTTCGAGGCCGCGGAGACTCTCGCGGCAGCAGACGCAGACCAGATACGCGGGAGATCGTTCGTGATCAATTTTGTAAAGAGCGCCAGTAACACAGAGGGGAACACTGTGAATGAGAACTGAATTGCCTGTGCGCCCTGGCTGAAATACACATCATCGTCATCTCCCTCTTGCCCTCGTTCTCCCGGCGCGCATTTGGCGCGTCGTCGCTGTCTGTCTTGTTCGCGCGTTTGGCGCCTCCTGTCCGCCAGGTAACGCGTTTGGCGTTGCTCGCGCGGCCGCCATTTGTCTTGCCCACCCAGCTGGCCTCAACCGGCCCCGCGCGAGGAGCCTGGGGCGGTCTCAGCGCCCCGACCCTGGAGCGCGGAACGCCCCTGGGGCACCGTTGGCGGCGGCGCCGGGGGCCGCCCCAGCTGCCTTCAACAGACCGCCCCACTCAAGCAGTGGCGAAGCGTCCCGGCTCGCCTAGAGGCCCACCAAACAATGTTCTAGGAACCGTTCGTGGTTCGCACGGAATGTTGTTGTAACATTTCTGGTTGGGGTTGTCTTGGTTTATCACATAGGGTTTATGTTTAAAGGACATTGCTTTTGTTTTTGGAACGATTTGGGGGCTCTAAGTCAATTTCGTGGTAGGCCTATAGAAATACCAGGGCGGTCGGTCCCTGCTCAAGGACAGCCCCAAATTTTTCCGGGGCTATCCGGGATTACTTGGGGGGGCTGTCTGTGCGCAGCTCGAAGATTTCCGTTGTCGATCGGCGACGACGATCGACGATGACGATGACGATGGCGACGACGACGGATGTCGATCGACGACGGTCGACGCCGGCGGTCGTCGAAGACGTTCATTTTTTTGCCCGAGCTCCTTGCAGATGTTCTCTTCCCCGGGCGCGCAGAGCGCGCCAGGGGCGGCGCCAGAGGTGCCGCCAGGGCTTTCCCAGCGCAGATTCAGGACATCCGCGCGGATGTCCGAGGGTTTATGTTGATGCAGTTTTTTCGTCTTCGAGGTCGATGGTGGACTAGCGGCGACGGCGCCGGCGATCGACGGGCGACGACGGCGGCCAACGGGTGTCGACGGCGGTTGGCGGCGGTGGACGACGGCGGTCGACGGCGCTCTCTTGGCGACGGTGCCAGCGGTCGCGGGCGGCGGTCGGCAGTGAGCGCATCGGCCTCAGGCGCGCCGTGGAGCATCACGTCACCGCGCGGCCCGCGGCCGTGGGCCCGAGCGTGGACGTCAGCGACGAGGAGTGCAGGTTTCCCAAATTTTGGAGCGGACGAGGCTGAGGAGGAGGAGGAGGAGGAGGAGACAAGACAAGACAAGACAAGACAAGACAAAACAAGACAAGACAAGACAAGACAAGACAAGACAAGACAAGACAAGACAAGACAAGAGCACTTGCGATCCAATGGTTCGATGTCTTATGGGATGAGCTGCGTCAGCAAAGTGTGAGTTGCTGAGGACACCAGCGTCGCTCCTGGCCTATATTGTGTGTGTGTGCACGAACACAGTCCAGCTGCCTAGGGTCGAGGAGGAAGGGGAGGAAGAGGAAGAAAAGGAGGAGGAGGAGGAGGAAGAGGAGGAGGAGGAGGAAGGAGGCGAAGGAGTACGAGGAGGAGGTGGAGGACAAGTAGGAGGCGATGGAGGAGGCGGAAGAGGAGGAGGAGGAGGAGGAGGAGAATGAGGAGGTGGAGGAGGAGGACGCGGGGGAGGGGCAGGTAGAATCCAGCGATGCGGCTTGATGTCGAGCCCGATGTCCTCCACGCCAACGACGCCGATGCATCACCGATCGAAGAAAAAGACTGCATAAACATACTTTCGACGGTCCGCGCGGATTTTCTGGATCGGCGCCGGAGCCCCCTGGCGGCGCCTCAGGCGCCGTCCCTGGCGCGGGGCTCCAGCGCCGATCCACAAACTGCGCGCGGACCTCCAAAATTTTATGCTTATCCAGTTTTTCCTTCTCTTAACGACGCCGATGCATCGCCGACGCCGCCGATGCATCGCCGATGCATCGGCGGTGTATCGGCGATGTCGGCGAGACCATCCGATCCCATTAATTCGGACCCCAGAACGGAGCGGTAGCGCCACGGCGCCACGACTCCGTTCCCAGAGGGACCGCGCCCCGGCGCGCACGCGAGCGTCCGTCCGCGTCCGTCCCAGTTGGGAGGAGATTGTTTTCACATTCTGGTGCGTGCCGGTAGTTACCCGCTGCTCTAATCCCCCCCTCCCCCCACAGGTAACGGCGACGATCGAACGTAGGGGAGGGCCTGGACCTTCCCTCACATGCTGGTAATTGCGGGCGTACGTTGGCGATCGCAGCCCACCCCCGCACCGACGAACCCCACCCCGCCCAAGCGTTACCGTTACACGGTGCTCCAACCCACCCCCGCCCCCTTTCGCCGACGCGTCGACGATGCATCGGTGACGTCGGCGGTGCATCCCCCTGGCGGCGCCTGCGGCGCCGCGCCTGGAGGGCTCCAACGCCGATCTCCGAAATCCGCGCGGACCTCAAAAAGTTCATGCTTATGTCATCTTGTGTCCCCCAACAACAAAAACAAGTTCGAGGGCTCCGAGGAGGTGGCCGCCATATGGCAGAGGGAGGTGGCCGCCGGCAGCTTCGCGGTGAACGGCGGGCTCACCTCGGCGCACTGGGCAAGGAGCCTGCAGGTGTACGCCGACCTCTACCAGGACCCGCGGGCGCTGGGCCTCCGGCTGGAGGATCGGTGCGGTCGAAATGGTCTCAAGGAGCAGCACGGTCAGATGTTCGTTTTGGGGACCTTCCTGGGGGCAAAGAGTATCGGCTCGACTCTGGCTTGAATCTAGTTCGACTCAAGCTCGACTCAAGTTCGCGTAAAGTTCGACCCAAGTCGACGGATTTGCTGCGGCATCATTGCATGAGGGGAGCGAGTGGCTCCAGGAAGGTTCCCAGAACGAACATCTGAACATAATTGCATGAACATAATTCCTTAGAGGTCCGCGCAGATTTCTTGGGTCGGCGATGGTGCCCCCCTGGGTGCGCCTCCGGCGCTGCTCCTGGGACGCTCCGCGCGCCAGGGAGGGGGCTCCAGCGCCGATCCAAGAAATCCGCGCGGGGCTCAGAGAAATTCTCTGTATGACGCTTTGTTGTTCCTCTACGGGTGCGGAAAATGGTGACGAACGTGGACAAAACATATTCCTGCCCATTCTGCGCAGGAATCGCTGCTGTTATCGCCGCGGACAGGCATAACATCGCCTCTGCCCAACAGCGGCCGATGTCGGATTTGGGCCACACTTCCTGCTGACGCTCCAGTGTTGAAGAACAGAAGACGGCATAAGCATGATTTTCTGAGATCCGCGCGGGTTTCTTTGACCGGCGCAGGGTCCCCTGGCGGCGCCTGCGGCGCCGCCCTTGGCGCGCTCCGCGCGCCAGCTGTGGGGGGTGCTGCGCAGATCCAAGAGCTGGGCGCGGATCTCCGAAAGTTTTTGTGTATGCAGCTGTTTGCTCTTCTGGTCTGATCAGAGGAGCGAGAGCTCACGATAACGAGACGTCCCACGATTCCCCAGGCTTCCAAGATTTCTTCCGCACGGGCTCCAGGAACGGGGGCCGCCAGATACTCCTGGGAATCCTGGAACGTACTATCCTGAGCCAATCGTATCGTGACACCGTGCTCGTCCCAGTCTGGGCCGTGCCCACGTCGGGCGCGCTGGGAGGACTTCGCCGCCCCTGGGCTCGTGGCCGCGGCGCTGGCCCAGCTGGGGGTCCACGGCGCGGGCCACGACGTCCCAGCAGAGGGCCAGGCCTAAGTCGGGCCTGCCCCTCCACATGAGGGACACCCCAAACAGTCCAAACATAGCCCAGGGACGTTTTTTTTTTACAGTTTTTGAGCATTGGGTTCTTTTGGTGTGCGTACCTTTTGTTTCTCGCCCAAAACCTCCCTGTAGGGGGGGCCAGGCCCGACCCACGGCCACGCCGAGGCCGCGTAGCGCGCGCCGCCGCGCACCGTCGGGGGCGCGGCGGGCCCCTGGCCTGGCGCAGCGCCGACGCGGGGCGCGCCCGCCCCCCGCTGCGAGGGGCCCCCCGCGCGGCCTGCGGCGCAGGCGCCGCGCGCCGGCGCCGTGCTCTCCTCGTCGTGGTCGTCGTCGTCGTCGTCGTCGTCGTCGTCGTCGTCGTCGTCGTCGTCGTCGTCGTCGTCGTCGTCGTCGTCGTCGTCGTCGTCGTCTCTCGCTTTCGCCGCCTCTCGGGCTTCTCGGTGGCAACGGGGGTCGGCGCCCACGGGGATCCGCCGATCTCCACCGGCTGGCCCGCCTGGGCTCGGGAGCCACGCGGGGCCGGCTCCCGCTCCCCGCTCGGGGGTTGCCAGAGGTGCCCCTGGCAACAGGGGCCCCTGGCTTGTCGCTCCCTGTGGAGCCCCCTTGGCCCCTTGGGCCCTGTGGGCCTCGTGAGGGGTCCTCTGGAGGCCGTGGGTCTAGGCCTCCCAGATGGGGTCGGAGCAGATGGGGTCGGAGGAACGCGCCGCATCGCCGATGCATCGCCGACGCTGCCCGAAGTGGGGCCCAATTTTCTCCACGCCGACGTCGCCGATGCGTCGCCGACGCATCTCCAGAGCATCGCCGATGCACCGCCGATGCATCGGCGATGTATCGGCGATGCTCCGAGAGCCTTCGATTCCATCTGCTCGGACCCCATCCAGGAGGCCCCCAGCGGGGGTCTCCTTGGAACTCCTGGGGGCACCTCGGGCCCCGGCGGGGCCCCTGGGCAGCGCCCGACGCGTGCTCCGCCGGCCCAGGTGTGGGAGCCGCCGGGCGGCCGGCGCGGGGCTTCGCGACAGGGCCCTGGCCGAGAGGTCGGATTCGGGCAGTGGCGAAGCGTCCGGGCTCGCCTGTGGGCCCACCAGAGAGTGTTCTAAGAAGCTTTTGTGGTCTGCGCACAGTGCTCTCGGAACATGTCTGGCTCGGATTGTCTTGCCTGCACACATCGGGCTTCTGTTCCAAGAACGTTGTTTGTTTGTCAGGACATGTCTAGGTTATGAGGACATGTCGTGGTAGGCCTATAGGAATGCCGGGACGGCCGGTCCCTGCTCAAGAAGTATAATGTTCCAACCGACGTCAGCCTTGATCACCACAAAGAGTTTCGAGCACCAAGAGAGTACCGAAGCTGGAGGGGCGTTTCACGTGCCAGGGCCTGGGAGGCGATACTCGGTCGACACCGTTTCGATCCTTCGCCTGCCGCTCGGAATGCTTGCTGGGATGCGGTCCTTTCGCAGATCTGGGAGCGGCATAAGCCGAGAGGGGCTGCTGGGGCCGAGATCTTCACGCGCCTCCCGTGGGTGCGCCGGCTCCACCGCGTGGCGGGTCCGCGGGGATTCGGCGCGGCAGCACCAGCCTGGGCCTCGGGCCGTCCTCCGAGGATGTCCTGGGGCGGTGGGGGCCCGAGCTTCGGGAAGGCGCGGGGTCGAGTCCGCTGGAACTCGCATCTGCCAACGGCCGTCCTGGAGTCTGGCGCCCCAGTTCTCGTGGGATGTCTGCAGCGGGAGCTCCCGTCAGGTGTCCAGCCCGAGTCCCTCGGACCAGGGTCTCACGTTTCCCCGATGATCCGAGTTCCCAGAGTTATGTGGTGAGGTCCCTTGGGATTTCGAGGTCACCGCACGGTCTGTCACCGCACCGTTGTGGGCCCCCTCCCCATCAGGGACAACGAACGTCGGAGCTTCGAAGTTCGAGCTCTTCAGAAGTCTTCATCGACTCTCACCGGGCGGCGTCCGCCCAGATCGTCCCGGATGGCCGCCGGGGACCAGAGTTATGAGCCCAGAACGGGGAGACGATTTATCACTGGGGGGAGCGAGCTCGGGGGGGAGGCACATCGGCCTTCAGTCGCACAACCCGCCCAAGAGGGTGCGGAATCGCTATCGGGGGCCTATTGCCGATCCATGGGCGGTGTCTCGCCGATTGCAGGTCGATGTTCCCCTCCTGAGCTAGCCCCTCCCTGCCTCTGCACCTCATCCCCAGGCCTGGGAGGCGTGGGAGGAGAGATGAGCTGCGTGAGCGAGGTCAGAGCGAAATTTGTTGGGACTCCCGTTTTCGTGCATCAGTCGACAGCGTCTCGCTTGTAACATCGCATTCGCGGGCTGGGCATGCGCAGGCACACTGTGAAATACTGAAGCTCGGGTTCAGCACAGCATTCATGGGCCAGCATTTCGCAAGCAGATGCACAAGCATGGCAGTGCGCCTCATAGTTTGAGTTCACTGCTGTAACGCACGTTTTGACCCAGGAGATGTTTGCACGCAGGCAGAGACGGCACGCGTGCGATCGGATATTACCAGGTGGCGCCATGAACTTCCGGAAGCCATTTTGGCTCCAGGGTGCTCCGGGGCTCCCCAGGCCCGATCGCGATTGGCGCGGGAGCTGGCAGCACTCGCTCAATACGTGGTCCCTCCGCCGCCAGCGGCGGGCCACGATGCGAGCAGTTCCAGTGCGCGTGCTCTCGCTCTCCGGGGAGACCATCCTCGCGGGCCACTTCCATCCCGACTGGGCCCTCGGCCAGCTCGGGCCCCTTGTCGAGGGCACGCTCCTCCACGGGGTGCCGGGCGCCACCGAGGAGCACGAGGTGCGGCTGCTGGTTGGCCCCAGCGTTAAGTCGGGCGTGTCCCTCAACAGGAGGAATACTCAAAAATAGTCCAGAAATGATATAGGGGACGATCTTTCGACTATTCTTGGAGCCTTTTTTTAGTCTTTTTCGTTGAAAATCCGCCTGTAGGGGGACATGCCCGACCTAACCCCAGCGCAGCCGGCGAAGTCCTGCCGCACCCGGCGGAGGCGCTGGACACGGACACGTCCGTGACGCAGATTGCGGGGCTTTTTCCAGGCCGGGGCTCGGTGACGCTTGTCGCAGTGGTCTATCTCGGAGAGCATGAAACCGTATGAACATAAGCTTTTTGGAGGTCCGCGCGCGGATTTCATGGACCGGCGCTGGGCCCCCCTGGCGGCGCGTCCGGCGCCGCATTTGGCGCCCTCCGCGCGCGAGGGAGAAGCTCTCAGCGCAGATTCAAGGAACCCGCTCGCATCTCCAAAAGATTATGTTCATGCTGTTCTGATGTTCCCCAACGATCAGAATGCCAACCGAATGGAGGAATTTGAACGAGACGCCAACCAGCTCGTCGAGATGACCCCTGAGCTCTTTGAAGACGAGCGGAGGGAAGAGTGGGCCATTGCGTTCTACCGCCTCGTGGATACGTACCAGGCCTCGCTGGAGCGGCTGCTGCACCGCGCAGTGAATGACACCACGCACGGCACCCCCATCGCACACGACTCGCTTCCCCGTGCTCTCGAGCTCGTTCGACAGGTTGCGTGGGACATTCGCGAAGTATTGCCAGGGCATGCTCCTCGAGACGCGTTCTTTGCGGTGTCCGAGGCGCTGTGGGTTGCTCTCTGCAGCGGCTCCCTCCGCACCGCGGCCTGACCGTTGCCGCCAGCAGCAGAGCCCCGAGGGGAGACAGCCCTTCAGGAGGCAGGATGCCAGGAGGGGAAGAAACACGGACACAGATAGTCGTCGATTCCCAAGGGAATGCGCGAAAAGGCGGGAGGCGGGGAGGAAGACGGAGCCCGAGGAAGTATGGACAACGCTGGGAACCCTGGATTTTGTGCCTGTTTATCTACTTGTGTGCCCCAGGGCCCCTTCAGGATGGGCGGGTGCGGCGCTGAGGCGGGCGGCGGCTCCGCCTCCCTCAGCGGGCAGCGTTGGGGCGGGCGGCGGCTCCGCCTCCCTCCGCTGTGTTTGACCACCTGCGCCCGTGCTGCCGTGGCCTCTGCCCAGGTCTCGCTACAGTCAAATGCGAGCCCGAGGCGCGCTCGCTGGAGTGCACGCTGTGCGCGCCGGACGCTCCCTCTCCTCCCCCTCCCTGCGTCTCTCCCTCCTTCCCTCCCTCTCCTGCCTCCCTCCGTCTCGACCTCCTCCTTCCCGTCCTCCTCCCCTTCCTCCCTGGGAAGAGGAGGGAGGACAGGGAGGGTAAGGAGGAGGAGGAAGAGGAAGAAGAAGAAGAGGAGGGTAGCCCAGAAAACCGTCATCCATGGTGTTCCACCACGGCTTGTTCCCGGCATTGTCCACCCATTGACTGTCATACTCGTATGCTGGGACCGCTTTGTGAAAATGCACGATTAGTCGTCCCACGTTTTCCGTTGGCCCCCGTGCCGTCGTTCTGCTAGTCGAGAATCGTGCTCACGTGGGTTCCAAGTCGCGCATCGTCTTGTCCACCTGTCGTGATTCGGGGGCGCCCAAACGGGGTGGTGACCACACCGTGTGGTGAGTCGGTGGGGATTCGGGGTCACCGCACGGTTTTGGGACTTGGGTCGTTCTCCGAGGATGTCTTGGGCGACTGGAGCCTCCAGGGTCCCAAAACCGTGTGGTGACGGACCGTGCGGTGAGGTCTTTGCGGATTTCGAGGTCACCGCCAGGTCTGTCACCACACGGTTTTGGGACACCCAAGTGATGGTGGTAGGCAACCCGTGCTGCGTAACGCCATTTTCTTTTGGCGTATATGCGAGTCTATTGTCGAACATGCTTGCGCTCTGCGATAACAATCGCAGCGCGTGTGCTCCTGCGAATAAGCTCCACCCAGGGCTCCAAACCTTCGTTATTGTCGTCGTCGTTCCCGTGTGTGTCGGGGTTGGCGTTGTGGTTGTTGGCGTCGGTGTTGGTGCTGTCGGCGTGGGGCGGTGTGTTCGGGTGTCTTTGTCCAGCTCGTCTCCTTGGGATACCTACGATCAGCCGAAGCATCTTCCGTTGTGTCCGCCGTAAAATGAGGAGCATGCCTTTGGTGAGAGTCCAGGAACACCACCCATGCATGATGCACGCCGTGACTGTGCCGTTGAAGTCGCAGCCTGCTGTTCAGAGCAAATCGCTTGTTGGTGAGTTCGCCCCGTAGTTGGTTGAACTTTGCCCACCTTGCGTTAATTCTGTTGCGTAGCTCGCGGTCGTGGCGAAAATCATGGA